ATTTAGGGCTGCCGGGGGCTCTTCCCAACCCAGGGATTGAGGCAGTCTCCTGCATTGCAGGTGGATTCTTTACCTACTGAGCCACAGGGAAGCCCCATCTGAGACATACTTATATTTAAAAGCAGGCTTCCCTCCTAGCTCAGATGGTAAAGAATCTGTCTGCAATGCAGGAGACCTGGGTTTGATCCCTGGGTCGGGAAGATCCCCTGGAGAAGGAAATGGCAACCCACTCCAGTATTCTTGCTTGGAGAATCCCATGGATAGAGGAGCCTGGCAGGCTACAGTCGATGGGGGTTGCAAAGAGTCGGACATGACTTAGCGACTAAACCACCACTGTACATTTAAAAAATCATTTATTGTTCATCTTAAGTTCACATTTAACTGTGTTTCCTCTATTTTATCTGGCAACCCTATAAACTAATGAAGTAGGCATCTTTACAGGGTAAACTCAAAACAAATATTAGTTAGATGTGGTAAAATTATGTTTTTATTGGCATTCAAAAATTTTCTGTGTAGTAGTGAAATTCTAATAGAGCCAGCAAGTTAAATTTCAGTTCCTTCCTTTGAGACTACAACTTAGAGGAAATTTATTGTTGTCTTTTAACCAGAGATCTGACAAAATAAAGTCTTGGATTTTTAAATTTATTCAAGATTATTGGCAACTCCTGTGTACATGTTCAAATTACTAAGGATAAATTTATACCTTCTCCTGATCATTGGTATGATTAGAAGAGTCATTTTACTTCTGATCTTGAAATTTGTCTTTCCTCTTTGAAAGCATTTTGGATGTTGAATTCTCACAGTTCTTTTGGGGAGAGGGGTTTACTTGAGGCATTTAATCTAAAAGTAAAAATTGTACATTTGTAATGTTACTTGTAAGTGAGGACTTTTATACTATGAAGGCAAGGTTCTAAGGTCAAATACCTTCAGAACAAATTTTGATGGATTCTGTATTTTGTCCTAAGTCTTCACAGAAATCAAATTTTAGTTCATTTTGTAGTTCTTTGGCTCTCACATTATTCTGGTTGCTGAACCAGTGTTTCTGGTTGCATATGAGAAAACCTGGAGAAGTTTTTTAAATGTTTCATCCCTAGCCTTACAAGTCTGGGAAATAGTACATTTAAAAGCTCTCCCAGTGTATTCTAATGTGGTCAGGGCTGATAAGCACAGAACTAGCTAGACTGTAATTCATAGGGACAGTGATCAACTTACCTCTTTTCTCTTTCTCTAGTCCATTTATAAATATTTATTGGCTGAGTGGATGAACAACTCACTGTGAAAGCAGATGTAGGCCCAACTGTATACAGCGCTTTTCACTTTCATTTGTTGGTGAAAAATTTACCTTTGGCACTGTATACACTTTAGGAACATCAGTCTTCAATACACAAAATAGGCAGAATCTGGCAATGAATTTATGACCCAACTGGATTTTTGCCAGTCCATGTAGAGAAGACAAAGCAACTGGAAGACAGTGGAGGCAGCCGTGTCTCTGGGGAAGTCATGTTCTGGTCTTTTTAAAATAAATGCCCCCCTGTAGATCTGCATCTTCCTGGACTGTTCTGATTCCTGAAAGATTAATCTTATTCTTTCAACAAAGTAATTTAAATTTGTTAAAAGTATTAAAAAAGCAGTTTAATTTATTTACTTCCTAAAAACAGATTTATGAATCTAAGAAAAAAATGTGCTCTCTCTCAATGTGATGTGGCAGCCTGGATGGGAGGGGAATTTGGGCAAGAATGGATATGTGTATATCTATAGCTGAGTTCCTTCACTGTTTACTGGAAACTGTCACAATATTGTTAATCGGCTATACTCAATAGAAAATTAAAAATTTAAATTAAAAAGAGAAAATAGCACTGTGCCTATAGTAATTAGAATAGGTGACGTTACCAGTGTGAATCTGGGGAACGAGGATGATACCTGGTGTTAATATGTTACATGTAAAAAGCTAGACTCCCCGAACCCTGGGATGTCATGTAATATGTCCCACTATTTTACCTTCACTGTAGAAGGTGATACTTTCAGCTCTAATCGCTTGCCTAGAACTAATTTTTCTTTGAAAACTTCCTGGACAGTAATTAGAAGAGAGGTATATTCATTTCTTTCTGGCTCAGCTGTTGGTCTACTGTTGGCTCTTGTCGGAGTGATATCACCTCTGCGGCCCCCTGTGATTTATGGCCGGGCCCATCTGCCACTAGTCTCTCTTTCATCCTTCCCTCACTTCCTCTGCCCTGGCTTTAGCCCCATTGAGCTTTCTCTCTGAGACCGAGCTAGTGGCCACAGCACTACCGACAACCACAGAGAAGCCGCAGGCGGTTCTGATGGCGCCTGCTTGCGTAATTCTTATAACCGCCTCCTTGTGTGGAATTGCCAAACGTTTAGAGCACCTCAGAAGGAAGGCGCTATGTAGACACAAGGTATGTTTTACTAGGTGTTTATTTGTGCTTATCATTGATAGTTTAAAATTTGAGAGCATTAGCAAAATAGTTGGGTATTTCTTTGGAGTTGAGACCTGTGTTTTAGGCTTTTTAATATTAGATATCGTTTCAGTGTTTTCTATCATATATGATTTTAAATTTTAGGGCTTTGAGTTGAGACCTGTGTTTTAGGCTTTTTAATATTAGATATCGTTTCGGTGTTTTCTATCATATATGATTTTAAATTTTAGGGCTTTGAACGTTTGCTATTTGATTGGAATAAATAATTTTCTTACTTATTTACCTTTATGTTTGGAATTGGAATGGGTGCAAATTCTGGTGATACAGTACCTAGAAATAGAACTCTTTGTGGATAAAATTCTTTTGCTATGTAATAGGGCAATAAACTTTGATTTGCACGTAAGGGAAATAATAGCACATTTTCTTAGCCAAAAGATAACAAGTGTTCTGTATTGTTGGTTTTGTTAAGGGAAAAAATGCTTAATTCTGAAGCTAAAGACTAAATCTAACTGGCACTAGTATATTCAGCTTTTGTGAGGTGACACTTGAGAACCCTGTATTCTGCGAAAGACACCGTTGCTGTTTCTCTCCCCCACACAGCAACTGTGCGTAGTGAGCACGCTTCACAGTAAAGACTCAGGAGACTTCCTTTCTTGTTTTTGTGACATCTTAATTCCCAGACCAGAGATTGAACCCAGACCCTGGGCAGTGAAAGCACCAAGTCCTAACCACTGAACTGTCAGGAGGTTCCCTTTTAGGAAACTTTCTTTATTGTCTGCTAAAGTCTAAGTTGTAGAATCATTTTTAGGCTGATATATGAGGTAAGAGTCTCAGTTTTATGACTTCTAGATTTAATCATTTCGAGAAAAAAAAGGCACATTTAAATCAAAACATACATTTCTAAAATGACCTCAAAATTTTAAAATGTAAGCCAAAAGTGGAGGCTCAAATGCACTGGTGTAGGTATTGATGTCATATATAGTTTTAGACTTAAAATATAACATCTTTTATAAAGAATTTACATGTATGTTCACATAGGAAATTATGACCATTTGAATGAAGAAATGAAAGCAGTATAAATTTATAGGGCTACTTCAGATCTTCATCCTTCAAAAAAATTTTTTTTCTGTAATGTCCTTGGAAGCCAGCTTTATTTCTACCAAATCAATAGTGAACATAAGAAAGTCAAGTGGCGGTATTTTGCTTATCGAAGGGGCGGGGAACAGTCACAGAAGCAAGGAGATGTGAAACAGAACGCAGCTTTTCTGGCAGCACCGCTGAAAGCGAGTGACCTCCAGGAGGCTCCCAGGCCTTCAGTGGTGAAGCAGCCGCCTGCGCGCGCAGGAGATGCAGGTTCGATCCCCAGGTTGGGAAGATCCCCTGGAGAAGGACACGTGAACTCGCTCCAGTATTCTTGCCTGGAACATCCCACGGACAGAGGAGCCTAGCGGGCTACAGTCCTTGGTTAGGGTGGCAAAGAGTCTGATACGACTGAGCACACACGCCTCAACTGGTGGTGGAGCTCCCATTCCACGCGAGTGCTTTAGTTTAGGCTGAGAGTGTCACACAAGGGGAGAGTTAGGTCTGAAAGTTTCTTCAAGGGTCCAGAGTATCATAAAAGGAGCATAAGACGGGAAAACAGACACTAAACAGACTGGAGCTTTGTTTCTCAGTTTAAGAGGCGGCCTTATAAGACTGTGATAGTGTATTACATGCTGGAAAACATCCACGGTCACTTTGGAGTGTGTGCCTGGGAGGGATGTAATGCTATCTTCTCTTTTCTCTCCTGTTCTCTTTTTTCCATAGTTCTCATTTCAGTTATTTTTTATGTGTCAGTCTTTGTAGGGAAGTCCTTATCTCCACAATAAATGTCACACCTTTGATGTGTCTGAACTGTCTAACAAGTCTTCCTTTTGCTGCCTTGTCAGCCGTTCGTTTTTACTAGCTTTCTCAATGTCTGAACTAGATGCTCTCCTTGGCAGCAGATTTTCTAGTTGCTTAGGCTCTGAGGTTTGCCAAAGAGCTAGACCTGTTCCAGATGACCGGAGTATCAACTTATGCACCTAACATGCCTCTAACCTGAGAACAAACTTTAAATAATTTCCAAAGTTTGCTTAACACATGCCTTCAGCAAATTGGACTCTGACTGTGCTCAAGGTAAATACTAGCCATCCTTTGTTTGGCTCCCTGGCAAGTGACTCTTTGCAGGGCTGTCTTAGGAATTTGGTTGGCATTTCTCTTGTTCTTTGCTCGCCATTGACCAACATGACCGTTGCTTACCCAGCTTTTGTAACATGGCGGCAGGAAGGAAGGGAGGAAGGGAAGTTTGGGATCATCGCCAATACCCGATGGAGTGGGCTGGGTGTGGAGAATGCAGAAATGGGGCCCCTTGTCTTTACTTCCACTTAGACCCGCTTATCTTAGTCACTAACAAGATATGTTTCTACATTCCTAGGATGTCTGGAGGTTGTGAGTGTTTATTTGTGTTATCCTTGGGAAATGTTCACTAACGCCTGCTTGGGGTGTGAAGGTAACTTCTATTTTCTGATTTCTGAACTTCAGGAGAAGGTAAAGCTTGATGCTGAAAGGGAAAAACTAGAGAGGCTTCAGGAGCTTTACTCCGAGCAGAAGACCCAGCTGGACAATTGTCCTGAGTCCATGAGGGAACAGTTACAACAACAACTGAAGAGGGTCAGTAGCAAACAGGAATGTGCTAGCTGTTTTTTTTTGTTTTTTTCGATTAAGTTCCACTTACCTTTGACTTCCTCCTTCACATAGTATAAATTTGCATAAGCTCTGTTCATTAGATAACGTTTTAAATAGAAATATGCATGCTGACAGTACATATTATTCCTTGCTAATCAGTTATAAAATTCCTTCTTGGAATCCTTCACCTCATTAATAATGCAAAAACATTTCGAGTCCTTCTTTGAAACAACAGAGAGCTATCACTGATAGGTAACCAACAAGACTGTAGCATTTAAATCAGCTGACATTGTTTCCTGCATTCCATTCTCTACTGCATCTTGAGTACTAATTTCCCTTGAATTTGTTGTTTCCCCCCAGCTTAATTTTATACTCCTGTCACAAATTTTTCTATTTTCTGGTTTGCTTCCCACCACCACTCATCATTTGGTTTTTCTTTTCCTTTCTTATTCTTAGTGTCATTGAAATCATTAGCATGATCACAATAATCAAACAAGACCCAAGATGCAGGGCATTCAATATTCAGGCTTCATAATTTTTTTAAATTTTATGCAGCATAGATTTTCTAGTTGAACTTTATCAGGTTATTCTTCGATCTTTAATATTGGCAGTGTTGAAATGACCTTGCTACCTGACTTCCTAGGTGGATAGTTTTGTAAACACTAGGAAGACCACTTAATATTTCATAGCCTCTTGACAGCTGGTTATTTGCTCTAAATAGCAGCCCAGACAGACTGTGACTATGGGGAGTCAGTCACTGACAGTTCTGGATCTCTAAGGGAATATAATAGTAGTTTGTCCTAAATAAGTAACATTTTATGATTCCACGGGAGTAAGAAAAACTAGTTTTACTCATATTACTATGTTTGTGCCTTCTTGGGAATGGGCAACTTGGTAAAAATCAGTTAAGATAGCATACCCTTGAAAATATTTAAGATGACCTTGAATACAAAAATGTTTGATAACCCTGAGTATCACTAGGTTATAGAAAATTATAGTTGAAGCTTTTCAATGTATTGCACAGATTGATAGTATCTTTCAGTATAGAAAGAAACCAGTACAGACAGGTTAACTACAGCTTAGCAACTCTAATATTTGTAATTTATACAATGTTGGATCAAAAAAATTTCAAAACTGTCTCTCCCCCTTCACTCATTTTATTGTGTACAGCTTAATTTGCTGTAGGAAGATAAAACTTCCTGTCCCTCAGTGTCCCAATTTGCTGAAAGTCTTATGATAAAAATGATTGGAAAAGGAAAAGTATTTGTAAAATTACTTTAGTTTGTAGTTTTTTTTAAATGTGTTTATGCCAATTCACAAAAGAGATTGGGAAACTGTTTTTTTTATATTTGTTTACTATTTTTCAACTTTATTGCTAAAGAAGTTACACAGTCACCTTAGTGCTTTTAGAGTCAGAAGCATGGTTATACATTTTGTTCTTCCCTTCCTTTAGTTATCTAGTTATTGCTTGTATTCTTTATAAATATTCAAATAAAAATTGGCAAATTCTATTAATAACTTGGAGTCAAGCATAATATAATTAGTTTGCTTAATGTAGATTCTATAAGATAGCTCATAAATATGTGTATGTTCCAAGGATACAAAAGAGGAAAGGAAATGATGCAGACAGCCTATTCCACTAATCGAAGGCAAAGACTCCTTCCTCTTCCTTTCCAAGCAGACTGCAAAATTTTTATCATAAAAACCCTTTCCTTAGGAGAGAAACTGGCTTTTGCTAGCTTGTGTTCACCTGATATTAAGAGAGATACTAATTCTGTTTTCCAGAGATGGACAATGACCAAAATGAATCTTCATCAGTCCTTTGGCTTAATCAGTAAAAAGTTCACTTATTTCATGAGAAGTCCATTCATACTGGAGCTTCCTGTGTTATCACAACTCATTTCCCTTCAGACTTCAAACACTCCAGAATAGCACTTCATTACAGAGCTTTCCCCAAGGCATTTAAGCTAAATTCAATAATGTTGATTTTATTACAACTAACTTCATTAGGTGACAAATCAGACACAATAGAAAATAAATGAATAGGAAGAAAATAATTTTCTTAGCCTGTATGCAATCTCAAATATGTGAGCCAAAACTGTAAAATGATTTTGTGCATATAAGACTATGGATTTATGACTGGGCTTCTTAATTCCTAAATCCTTCCTTTAGAGGCAGAATACAGTTTTCATCCAATGTTGATTTCATGGCCTGTGATTTAATGCAGTTGATAATTGGGCTTACCAGTCAAATCATAGAAGTGATGTGAGAAAAAACGCTGAAGATAAATGAGCCTTTCATTTGCTAGCAGAGGCCTAGCTAGGATGGTCTTCTTGTGCTTTGACATTTATTCAGCTGGATGGTTGAGTCTGGTCTCTTGATTAAAAAAAGATTGTATTCAGCGATATCTACAGTTAGGAGACCTTTCTTGTTTTCCTCACTAGGTCCACAGTTAGCTTATCCTTTACTCTTGGATAAGTCATTCGGCCTCTGTGGGCCTCAGTATCCTCATGTATAAAATGAGAAGCTTGTACTAGATGATTTTCATTGTCTTTTTTTCCAAATTCAACAAAGTATGCAAAAAAGTTTTTGAATATAGCGCATAAAGACAGAGAAATAGTAACACACTCTTAGAAAGTTTATAAACTTGCTTTCAGAGTTGCCCTTGTGCTGTCATAAAACTATTCCTGTAATATCTCCTGGCCACACCATATCTAGTCTCTGCTTTCCGTTCCTCTATGGAAAGAAAGCAAAGAAAACAAGTTGTGCATGTAAACTTCTGCCATGCATGCTGCGTGCTAAGTCGCTTCAGTTGTGTCTGACTCTTTGCGACACTATGGACTGTAGCCTGCCAGGCTTCTCTGTCCATGGGATTCTCCAGGCAAGAATCCTGGAGTGGGTTGCCATACCTTTCTCCAGGTGATCTTCCTGACCCAGGGATCAAAACCACGTCTCTTAAGTCTCCTGTATTAGTAGGCGGGTTCTTTACCACCAGCTACACATTCTCAAAAATGTTATTAGGAAGAAAAAATGACTTTTGCTGAATTTTCTTTAACACATCTGTTTTATTTCCTTTCACACTTGGCCTTTGAACTTGCAGCCAGTAAAGACTTGTCGTATTCTTTTAGTGGAGAAGTTTAGTTAAAATTTTCATTCAACTAGTCACACACTTGACTTTGAGCTTTCTGTGTATATTATTCTGTGCTCAATTAAACTACTCCTGCCCCTAAATTCCATCTCTTGAATACTTATTCTTATCTAAAATCTTGTAACGGTTTTTTTTTCCCCCTCCCAAGTTGTTTTTCTTTCACAGTGTAAGTTTATATACACACATTTCAATGCTTTAGATAACTTGATCAGATGATTACACCAGAGGAATCTGAGGGCTGAACTTGGGTTTAATTTTAAACTTTCCTGCCTAGTGTGCTGTTATTTTCATACAGTGGTTTAAATATTTACTAAAAATAAATTAGTGACTTTGTGACCTTCATGTGGTTAAAATAACACATGTTGCGTATTAACCAGATGTGGGGCAAGCAATTTACTAGCATAGTGTATATATTGTGAGCCATATGCCCACTTTGAATGAAGATTCTTTATAAACAAAAAAAAAGAAGCCTTATTAAAATTTTTGTCTCAATAACCTTTAGCCACAGGCCAAGTTTAATTGAAAGTCTTTAAAAACTTGAATATGAAAGCTTCTGTGAGTAAATATATCACTGATGTTTTAAGACTGCAGATATTTTGTTTTAAGACATAACATTAGAGTTGCATGTTAATTCCTTTAGTAACAACTAGATTTGGTCCAAATTCATTAATTCCTGTAGAAGTTATAAGCATGAAATCTCTGATAAATTTGAAATATCACCCAGTTACTTGAAACCAAAGCTGCTTCACATTTTGCCAATTAAAATGTAAAGAAGTTTTGAGAAATGCTGAATGTGTTTTTCACCTTGTTTTCTCTTGTTCGTAGACTATGAGGATCCACTGTCTGTGTTGACATAATAATCTTGTTGCTATCGTGCTGGTTGTAATTTCTTGGTAGCTAATCGTCCTTTTGTGAATCATCCCCAGAATAAAATTAATTCCAGAAGATAGAAAAATATTTCATTTAATTAAAAGGTTTAATTTATCACTTACATGAAAATCAGAGGAGGGGGTAGTGTGTTTAAATACTGATAATAGACCTAATTTATCACAGATTTATCCAACTCTTTTTTTTTTAATTTGAACAAAATCTGTACTTTAGTTAATAATACTGTGTCACATTTATTTTTCTGTTTTTTTAAACCAAGATAGTATTTCTTTATATTCTTGGAATTGAATAAAAAGAATCAATCCTAATTCAGTTTTTTAAAAATCACTAAGATAATAAACTTTCTAGACAGAGCAGTGATACTAGATGCCAAAATACATGAAACTATATCAAAGTTTTGAATAAATATAAATTAGAAATCTAGTATTCTATTCATACCAAGTCAAACAAGTGGAACCAAAATGTCATAAATTTTTTAGCTAGGCAAAAGTTCATGTTTTCTAAAATATATGTATCATATTATACACACATACTATATATGTGTGTGTGTTTGCACACACGTATACAAAAGGTTTTCTACTATGCTTGATAAAGGGTTGAGAAAGAACAACACAAAATCCAACTCTTTTTAATGTGTTGATTGAAGAAAATGCCCTGGCACTTAGAGCTATGAGTCATATAGCCCAGCTGCCTGTTTTTGGGGGGTCATTAATTATTTATAAATTATATATTTAAAAAGAATCTTCTATACATACCACATTCTACAGTTCTGTCAGAAGCTCCCAAAAACAAAAAAGGCTTTTTGTTTTCTTTAAGTAGACAGAACAATTCATACCACATGCACCAGTCTCTGCTCAGGTCTGGTTTCACCCCTGTCTTCAGACATCTCATGCGTTGGAGAATGCCTCTTCTAGACTGGCTTTTATGGTTTCTGTTTGTTCTTAAATGTCCTGAAGATTACTCCTAGACTAGCACTGCTTAACCTTCTGAGTCAGTCTTTGTGCTTTATGAGCTCTGTGGTTCCTTTCTAGTAAAAAGGTTTATAAACAATTCTAAGGGATTAACAGAAGCCCATATAAGAACTCCAGTCTTCAAATGTTTTTGATGACTTCTCCCTTCACTAAAATTATTTGAGCATGCATTCCTATATGTACATATAGGTCATATAATGTTATAAATACATGTATTATATGTATTCTATGCATGCTCAAAATACATATATTCATGTAAAATAATCTTACATGTTATTTTACCTGTATGTACATTAGAGAACATTTATTGAAAAATTGTAAAAGAAAAGGAAAAATTAAAAATAAATATAAAGAAAGTCTAATATTTCTTTCTCACATCCCAGTGCCTTGTGTTATGTACCATTTGGAGTACATATATTCCCCTTAGAGACCTCTGATCTGTTATATATGCCAACTTTTAAATCTTTTTTTTAAGGTTCATTTTTTTTAATATATTTAGTTTTAGCTGAAGGATAATTGCTCTATAATACTGTGTTGGTTTCTACAGTGCATCAACATGAATGAGTCACAGGCATACATAGGTCCCCTCCCTCTCACCTCCCACCCTATCCCGCTGAATCTTTTTTTTTATAGTAAGCAACTTTGGAATATTGAATTTAGTCTTTATGCTAAAGTCTGATTTCATCTGGAAATTTGTGAAAAATAGGAAGTTTCTCAAGAGCTTATGTCACACCTTTGGTCTGCAGATAATGTTTAGGTTATTTATTGCATTCTTCTTATATTTCATGATCCATTTTAAAGCCACCTGGTAGAGTAAAAGCAAGAATTCCTACAACCAAAGAACAGTCTAAAACCAATGGTGAAATAAATGCCCCCCTCCCACCCTCAGCACAGTCACTTTCAGTTTCATCCTAGCCACCACTCTGGAGTTTAACTCCAAAGAGATGAGTATCATGATCCAATCCTGGTCAGTGTTGTAACTGGAAAGATATTTTGGACTTTGTGCTTTTATTAATTTTTCTTCACGTTAAGAAGGCTTCAGCCATTCTCGTATGTCTTGTTTTCATTCCCTTTTCTCCAAAGGATGCCGACCTACTGGATGTTGAGAGCAAACACTTTGAAGACCTGGAATTCCAGCAACTTGAGCGTGAAAGCCGTCTAGATGAGGAAAAGGAGAACCTGACCCAGCAGCTCCTGCGTGAAGTGGCTGAGTATCAAAGGAACATTGTTACTAGAAAGGTACTTTTACCAAGTGTTGTCCAATGTAAAAAGTCAAAATATATATGTCCCTCGCTATGAGACAATAGTGATTGTCAATATAGCTATAGCATGTGTCCATTTGTCTGTATACCTGTTATATCTGGACATCTTTGTGTCTTTTGTTACATTTGGCAGATCATGGAGCCTGCCACGTGCATGCCAATTGGTGCTCCAAACTAGATAAGTTGAGACTTGGTATGTCAGTGTTACCTGATGCTGTAGATGTATTTATGAATGTCTGATTCTTTCGTGTGAAAACCAAGGTAGAGAAAATCAGAAATCTAGATATTTATTTTAAATTATTTGCTTTTGCAATCATAGTAACTTGATTTAAAATAATTTGTTGAAAAGTCTTTTGGAATTTCTGTTTCCAGACCCAGTAGTTTTCAAAGCTGGCTGATAGTTTATTACTATTAGAAGCAGCCTTGTGGAATGCTATGCAAGTGACTGCTTCCACCCAACCCTGAGCACCCGGATGTCGAGTTCCGAATTCATCTCTTGTTCCAAAATTTATAATCCTCACCACAATGCTCTGCACTAAACCCATAAAATTGAGGGAAAGGACAATGGAGAAGGTGACACTTTCAGTTTAAACAGGAAATTCCGTTGTTTTCCTTCCCATGAGGCATCTCCCAAGGCGAAGTCAGAAATTCATTTATGTTCTAAAACAAGATTTCCCATTGACTTATGGATACTTGAAATACATTCCAAATTACTTGGTCTTAGGTGAAGAAAAGCCTTGAGCTTGTGAGTTCAAAGGAACTGCTTCACAGTCTGGTAATAATAACTGCGTACCTAACTCTGGGTGGGCTTCCCTGGTGCTCAGCTGGTAAAGGATCTGCTTGCAGTGCAGGAGACCCCATTTTGATTCCTGCATCAGGAAGCTCCCCCGGAGAAGGGAGAGTCCACCCACTGCACGATTCTTGGGCTTCCCTGCTGGCTCAGATGGTAAGGAATCCACCTGCACTGCGGGAGACCTGAGTTCGATCCCTGGGTTGGGAAGACCCCCTGGAGGAAGGCATGGCAGCTCACTCCAATATTGTTGCGTGGAGAATCCCCATGGACAAAGGAGCCTGGCGAACTACAGTCCATGGGATCACAAAGAGTCAGCAAGACTGAGCGACTAAGCACACCTAACGTCAATGAAATACGGTCACTGCACCTCTAGTTATAAAAACTCCTTCTCCCTTTCCCCAGACAGACAGCAGGGTCTAATGTACATCTTTCTATGGTTGGTTTTTTTTCCTCCAGGAAAAAATTTCTGCATTGAAAAAGCAAGCTAATCACATTGTCCAGCAGGCTCAAAGAGAACAAGATCATTTTGTGAAAGAAAAGAATAATTTAATAATGATGTTGCAGAGAGTAAGTATTTCATTTCTGTACTGGTGACAGTAAAACACAGGTTCCAGTTCAGGGAAAGTTGCTTCCATCAAACCCACTGCCTTTTAATGAATGAATTATAATTTAAGGAAGGCTTTTCTATATACATCTTTATTTAATCCTCCACATTAATAAACTGATGCTCTGAATGATTAACTGTAATTCAGAAATGAGCAAAGACATTTTCTTCATGCTTTTTCCACAGTGTGAAAGTCCAAGCTATGGGAAATCAGTATGTTTTTTGATTTTTTTCTTTAAAAACCTTATTTTTCATCAAATAGGTTAAACATATTCTGCTCTTTTTGCTGCTGTCAGACATTTTGGCTCAGTTGCTCTGGTGTTTTGAACTCTAATTATTTGCATATAGGTCTTCTTGGAAAATGCCACATTGGATTTAGTTTGGCTTAATTGGTGAGGTGGATGCCCCGTGTGGGTGTGGCAAGGTCATCCTCATCACAGGGACTGTGTCCCCGTCCGCCCAGCCTCTCATGTGCTCCATGTAAAGGGTTTCTTTTGTCCAAACTGCAGCCTAATTTTCTGACATAATCTCTTAATTTCAGGGATAAGAGACCAAACATTAAAGTTGATGGGCTTAGTCTCAGGACTGGGCCTTGCATGCAGGCCACTTAGAAATGGGACACTTGGGATCATGAAAACATGAGATGGACTCAGAGTGGAGTGCAGGAGAGAAAAATCTCAAATGATGGATTAAAGACAAGGCTGCACCATGGTCCCATCCAGAAGAAATGGAGTTAGAGCACTCATTCCCTTCTTTGCCGCTTAGCCATGTTTAGGTTGAGAAGAGAAAGCGCTCTTCACATGCAACCATGAGTTCACTTACAGTGCTTCTGTCGCCCACACAAAGCCCTGGCAGTTCCCCTCCCCCTCCTTCTTCAGCACCTGGTCATCTCCAGTTGAAGTTGGACTTCCCAACCCCATCCTTTGCTCTGGGGGTGAACTCTGGTGCTATTAGGTTCCCCACGACCTTTTGCACACAAAATTCAAAGGCACAACTTAAATTTGATCATGTAACTTATAATATTTAAGTAGTTGCTAAAATTTTAGCAAAAAAAGAAAAAACATCTTAGTGATAGATTTTTAATGGGTAAGCACAAAGTAGAAATAAGATCTCCTCGTTAAACTATATAATTCTGTTGTAAATACTATGCCTTAAGATTTTCGTTTTCCCAAATTGACCTATAGCTACACCTCAACCCCAATAAAAATTCCAGTGATGCTGAAATTTGCAGTTGATCCTCATTATCCACGGGGTCCATGTTTGTAGCTCTCCCTAGTCACTAACCTTTGTAACCCTGAGATCAATAGTTGTCACGCAGTCATTGGTGGACAGGTGAGCACAAAACAGTGAAAAGTTCAAGTCGCTCAGTGCACATTCACATTCTCAGCTGAGGAAGTCGCTCAGTGCACATTCACATTCTCAGCTGAGGTTGAACAGGACAGCGCTCTCCCTTCTGTTTTGCTCTCATGCTTGAACAGATGTCCTTTTTGTAGACCATTTGGGGCCATGTTTTCATGTTTTGTGCTTTTCATTGGTGATTTTGCTGTTTAAAATGCCTCACAAGTGCTAAAGTATTGTCTGATGTTCTAAGGGCAGGATGGTTGTGATGTGCCTCATGGTGAAAATACATGTTAGATAAACAGCTTTCAGGTAGGAATTAGAGTGCTGTTGGCTATGAGTTTAATGTTAATAATCAACATTGTCTATTAAATAAGTTGTCTTTAAATGGAAACACACATTAAGACAAAGTCATGTAGTGATCAGTTGATGAAAATATTGTGACCAGATGCCCACAGCAACCCAACCTTCTATCCCTTTGGAACAGTGGGTCAGTGTTCAGTACTTCGGTGTTCACGGCAACATTATAGAAGGCAATCATCGCAGATGATGGGGATTGAACGAATATGAAAATATAAAGGGCATGGCATAGCCAAGACAGCTTTGAACAAGAACAGGGTTGGAGGATTTATACTATTTGCCTTCACGTTTTACTGTAAAGCTGTAGCATTTAAGAGGGTGTGCTGCTGGCATACAAATAGACGTATAGATCAGAGGAACCGAACAGAGTCCAGAAATAGACTCACATATACTCTCTATTGATTTTTGAGGAAGGTTCCAAGACAACCCTGAAGGGGAAGGAAAGTCCAGCCTGTGGTGCTGGATCAACTAGGCAAACAGGGAAACAGTGAATCTCAACACTGTTTATCCTCATAACTTGCGTATAAATTAACTGGAGACAGATTGTAGACCTAAACATAAAAATCAGCAAGATAAAGTTTCTAGAGAATACAGGTGGGCAAGTATACCCTTCATGACCTCAGAGTAAACAAAGATTTCTTAAGGAGTAAATGACAGAAGACTTGTATCCAGAATGTATTAGAAACTCCAAAACTGAAAAATAGTAACAAATAAAATTTTAAAAAACAGACAAAAGCCTGCAATTGAAACATTTCACAAAAGAAGTTACATGAAGAGTCAGTAAGTCCCATGAACGGGTGACATTGTTGGTCATCAGGAAACTACACAGTTGACTCAGCTTAATAGATTTTGTGTTTCTTCAGGAAAAGGAAAATCTTTGTAATTTGGAAAAGAAATACTCCAGCCTCTCTGGGGGGAAAGGGTTTCCTGTCACCCCCAATACTCTGAAAGAGGTAAGCTGTGATTTTACATGTCCACTCCTTATCACCTTAGAACTCAGGAGATGTACCTCAGTTTTCTGGGATTAGCTGACTGGGAAACATGAACTGAAGTGACTTCTGCAAGCACTCAGTGCTTTGAGGTTTTCCTGCCTTTCCTGATTTACGCTTTGAGAGTTTCAGGGATTGTCTTTATGTCTGATGCAGATGCTGTGTGTGTGTGTGTGTGTGTGGACACTTTGCTTAATAGTGATGTTGTGGGTTACTTTGGGGTTTCAAACATTTAGGATCCAAACCAAAACTAGTCTTAATACCTCTTCTTTCATCTTGCATTTTCCTTTCTCAGTTTATCATCTTTCCTACTTTCTTCTCTTTTTCCTACGTCTTCTGGGACATGAAAAGCCCCAGACATCTCTACCCTTTCCCCCCATGTTGTCTGGGTTATTTTGCCCTAAATTCGAAAAATCCTGTTTACATTAAGCTGTACACCCTCTTTATCTCAAACGTTCATCTTTCCCAAGACCCCATCACCGCCCTTTCCAAAATATCTTTTTATAGAGCTACACTGCTATAATGGTAAAATATTTTAACTGATTTGGAAAATTAGAACCTTCACCAGAAAGAAATAGTTTTCTTCACCTTTTTTTTCAAAAAGCTAAAGAAAAAGCTTGCTTATGCATAAAATTTTTCGTAATAGCAAAAACCACTTTATAAACTGCTTTAAAAAGACAGCAAAGTTAGGAATTCCTTCATAGAAAATATTTTCTGTGTGTGTGTGTATATATATATATGTGTGTGTGTGTGTGTGTGTGTGTGTGTGTGTGTGAAGTAAATGCTCGTCACATAATAGGTGTGACTTGATACGTACTGATACGTACCTTGGAAGCATTTTGTGAAATGTTTCCACAAAAGCTTTATTAGACCATTCAGTTATGGAGTTATTAGAACACAGAACTGGCAGATTCACTTTATGCAGATTCACTGCATAAAGGATGCTTGTGAATGGAGTGTAGAGGAATAAGATTATGTCAGTGAGGCGGGCAGGGGCCGGCTCTTGTGAGTCGTGTTAAAGAAATATGGTTTGCTTTATGTGGATGGGAAGCCACTGAGTGGTTTTAAGCAGGGAGGTGACATTATTTGAGATCCGTTTGTTAAGATCATTCTGAGCTGCTCTACCAGATTATAAAGAAGAGCTGCTGGAAAACCAGTGTGGCAGTGATTGCAGTATAAGCTGGAGGTGCTGGTGACTTGAATTTGAACAAATAAAGAAAGATGGACAGAACCAGCTAGATGAGAAATGCTTTGGAGGTAGAGTTGACAGTTCTTGCTGATAGATTGGATGTGGGAGTGAAGTACGTTAAGGGCATTGTCAGGAATGCTGCTGTTAAAAATTCCAGTTTGAATAATGAGGTGGATGGTGAGTAGCTGTTACTGAGATGGAGAAGACTGGGGAAAGAGTAGGTTTAAGTAGACAGGTATGCAGTTTGACTCTGGACATGAGTTTGAAGGGCTTGTGGCTTACAAATGCATTAGATAGGGTCTAAGGTCTCTTTACCTCTCGGAAGAATAAAGTCTTTCCCTTCCTATTAGAGTCACTCTTTTTCTCTGCAGCCCTCCGGGCGTTGAAAGCCCATCCGGTGTTTTGACTGTATTTGTGTGTCTGCAACTCTCATGTTTGCTGTGTGGCTATGCGTTCTCTTCCATGTCCAGCAGACTTGGCTCAGAAGATGTTTTGATTTTCTTTCTTTCTCTCATCTTTCTCTGTCTCCCCCCACTCTCATTCTCTCTCTCTTTTTTTAAAAGAATGATGAATTTATATCCAACTCTTTTAAATAAGTCCCACTTTTGAAAAATGACATACATTTTTAAGCAATTAATTAGTTTATTACAGTTAATACAGGTATTAGGTTATTACAGTTATAATAGGTTATTATGTGAATCATATAGGAATCAAATTTTGGTTTTGAAAGAGTCTATCAACTTAGCCAAAGAATAACTCAAGTTGCTACTCTTCATTCTCATTCATTATCAGAGATAAAATAAATTTGAAAACCCATTTTCAACTTCCTTTCTTAAATTTAATCTTATAAAACTTTACATACTACCTATTGCCCCTTTCTGAAGTGCAAAACTAAATTCAGCAGGATTTTGATATCTTTAATTTATGAACAGTCAACTCTGGTTTTCTCTACTTGGCCAGAATTATAAACTCTCAGTGAAAATCTTGTTTTCCAGTCTGGGATTTTTGCTTCACCAGCATAACAACATCTTACCTTTCCTGGAGCCACTGTCTGAAAGGATTGCTGGACAAGTAGAGCTCAAGTATTAAATTCAACACAATTTACTCTTAAAAGAGAGCTGCTCATTTATACCCTTTATTCTTTTTTCATACTATTTTATTCGTGTAGTGAAAATATGAATGGTCTGTACAATTACTTTCCGTGGTAATTTACAAGGGCCTTTTCCTCAAATGTAAATTCAGAAATTTTTATTCTCAAAGATTTTGATTCATGGGTATGTTCTCTAAGCTGAAGCCACAACTGAATCACTGAATTTAAAAGTAACTGAAAATTCACTGTCCTGGAGGGAAGTTGCCTTAAACTGGAACACTCTTGAGCTGCACCTTTGCCTGAAGGGTGTGTGTGTGTGTGTGCGCACGCGCACACGTGTACATTTCTCTTGCTAGGGAAGGCTCACAGGAGAATAGTGTCCTTTTTATTTTCATTTTGTTGAGATGCCTAAAAGCTAGATTCCATTACAAATAAATTACTGCTTTATAAATGTCTTAGTGCAAAAGTCAGTAGTACTTGGTCTATATTTATTCACTCTCTAGTTTGTCAGGCAACAGAAGAAACAGAAAATCTTAAAGATTATGGAAAAGTCTCTTGAATGCGAGAGTGGTTGCGTTGTCGGTTTCATGTCTCAGATTTATTTTTGTGTGTGATTATTTTAAGTGCTGTGTAGTGACAACCTTATTCAGTCAACAGAATGAATGCTGATATGGATGGATATTTTTAAATCAAAGGTATTGGGTTATTTATAATACAGTCATTTTTATTTTATCTGAAAATTTACTTTTAATGTTGGAAATACAATTTTTCAAGATTAAGCATCATACATCCATTTTAATAACTGATGATTGCCTTAATGAAACATTTGATAATACCACAGATATCTGGCTGTGATGCTCTGAGCTAACTCCATTGTCCTGGAGCATTAATACTCTCGCATGCTTCAGCTCTTGCTTTCCTCATGTGTAATTTATCAATTCCTCCTTTTAGGGCTATATCATTGTAAATGAAATTAGTGAGCCATGTGGCAGTTCCACGAATCTCCCCCCTTCCACTCAGTTCCCTGCTGATGCTGACGCCGCTGCCACTGGGCCTACCACAGCTGTGCTGATGAGCCAGCCACAAAGTTCAGAGGTGTGTGGGCATGCCATTTCATTCATTCACTGCTTTCCTCATGTCAAAAATTAACCCATGGTTAACAAAACGGTGAAGTGTGAGACAAAGATATGTCTGGTTGACCAGAGGGCTGGAGTGAGGCTCAGTTTGAAAAACCAATTTGGGAAGTAATGCTCTACTAATAATAACACTTGAAACCATGAAATATGGTACAGAGTATAGAGTACTAGGAGAAGGAAGTTCAGAAGAATAAACTATATCTTAGCACTTTAGCCCGGCCTAGTTTTCTTAGAAACAAAGAGACTTTCTAAAATTGTAGGTTTGAAGCACCTTTCCAGTTTGATTTTATATTCGATTTTGTTTTACAGTACGGACTTCTTTTTAATTTTCTGCTGCTTTAAAATGTTTGGGGAGAGACAAATAATAGTAAATTTAAATACCTCCTACTGATCCAAGTGTGGGATTTGAACACGAGGCTAATTACTCCCCGTCATTTATGACTCCTTGAGTAACATATAAGATAACAGAACAATGAGATTATCAATTTCATTTCTTCGTCTTATTCTTTCATTTCACATGGACACATACTTTTTTTTTCTTCTTTAAAGCAAAGATCGTCTGTCTGTTCTGGATTTATGTTTCCTTCCACTCTTTCTTCTCATCCTATCACTGAACCTCCGTCAGCCCCTTGGCCTGAAGTCATGGCTCCCTCTGTTGATTCTTTTCCCTTAAATGACACACCTCCTCCTCTACCAGCTAAGAAACACAGAAGGCAACAGCAGCCGGACCAGCAGGTAATTAGGAACTGGCATTTAGAGTTTGGAAATTTTACCTTGACAACAAACTTACTGATGTGAAATCTTTTCTTTGGTTTTTCCAAAGATATTTTTTTAAAAAGATAAGGTTCATACTCCTTTTTTAAAAAGAACATTTGTTTTGTCCCTAAGAGTGTGGGGATTGTTAGAGAGCTTGAGACCTTGACTGTCCACTCCTGGCTTTTGATATGTTGGAGCTAGTTTCACATCCTCATGCTTCAGTTCCCATTCAATCAAAATGTTGCAACTTCAGGTATTTTTCAAAATCATAATAATTATTTCCATAAAATCCATGGTATACAAAGTTGCTAGGTCAACACAAAATATTTTCCTTACACATTATTGAAACCATAATAGTAGACACCATTCCTCTGCTGTGAGTCAAAACTTCCTTAGCATTTTACAGATGTCTCATTTCTTCCTTCTAATAATCCCATGAAATATGAACTATCTCTGTATTGATGTGTAAAGAACTGAGACTCAGTGTTGGTAAGCAGTTTGTCCAGAGTCATATCACAAGCAGTGCATTTGGTCCATAGAACAACAGTTTTTCATTACATATTTTAAAATAAATAATTTCTTATTCCAAACGTGTTGCCCTCTTTTGGGACATTTTGTGAATACTCATGAGCTGCCCTGGTGTCTCAGTGATAAAGAATCTGCCTGCAATGCGGGAGACCCGGGTTCGATCCCTGGGTCAGGAAGAGCCCCTGGAGAAGGCAATGGCAGCCCACTCCAGTATCCTTGCTGGAGAATCCCATGGACGGAGGAGCCTGGTGGGCCCCATCCACGGGGTCGCAAGAGTCGAGCATGGCTTAGCCACTAAGCCACCAAACATTTTGTTTTGAAATTTTGAACTATAATCAAACCCTTACCTGGATTTGGCCCCAGAAGATCCTAAGGTGTCAGTCAGTAGACCTCCCAAAGTAGGTGAGTTCTGGTCCGTTATGCCTTTCTTTTACCCTTCTTAAAGCTACCTTTCCTATCTGTTATCTCTGGTTAAAGGACCATATCTCCTCAGTACTTTTAGGTTAATAAATATCTAGTATAAATAGATAATTGTTAGGTTAAAATGCAGATATTCTTCATGATTGAAATGTTGGAAGATTGATAGCAAATTTGATATCTCAGAGTTGCATTAATTTTTAGATATTTCAAAAGCCCGAGTTTAGTATTAAAATGATCCAACCTAAAGAACCTCTAATTAGGAAATAACTTTCCTATCAAAGACATTTTGGGGAAGGCCAAGAAAAATGTGGGTAAGTTTCAAGTTGGCAAAATGTTGCCTTAGGAGTCTGAAGAAAAAAAAAAATGAAATGGTCAACAGGAGGATTTTTAAATGTGAGGGACCGCTGTGGAGGCTCCTTGGTCAGGATCTTTTTTTCAGTCTAGAAGGATGCCTTCTATGGAAACACTATGTGGATTTGGAGTGTGTTTATGTAATTGAAACAGGATTCCATCTTTAAGCCAGTTTCCCTGTTTGTACTTTCTCTTCGTCTTCGTCCTTCTCCCGTTTCTTATTCTCCTCGCTCTGGGAGCTGTGCGATCACACAGAACTGTCCAGACAGACACGGGGGGCCTGCTTACATGCTTTGTCCACTGACTGATGGCGACTGTTCCGCCATCCACATGGCAGCCACCATGACCACCTGTAAGTTGTCCTGAGGCCCCAAGGCAGCCGGCACTACTGTCAAAGGGACAGGTGGATTTTTCTGAATTTTTCTAGGTTCAGTAATAAATTCTTCTCATATCTATGTGTCTTACCAAATGTTAGCCCAGGTCTCTTAGTGAACATAAGTTGAACAATTTTTTTCAAGTCTGTGTTAAAATTCCAAAGCTTCTTTGTAAATGCATACTTCTTAATTTCTTTAGTGACCTGTTTCAATTAGTCAAGTTTTGCTATTTTGCTTTACATTTGCACCTAAAGCATTTTAGAAGTCTGGAAGAAAGGAAAAAACAGCACCAGGAAGGCCTCTATCTGAGTGACACTTTGCCTCGAAAGAAAACCACACCTTCCATATCCCCACATTTCAGCAGTGCTACTATGGGGAGAAGCACCACCCCAAAGGTAGGACATGGGGAGAATCACGGGCTTCACCATCAGTGAATCTTTCTGGCCTTATGTTGACTGACATGCAAAGGCCTTAAAGATAATGCTCAATAATAGACCATTAAGTTTGCTTGTTGGGCAGACATCATAACTGAATTGCACTTTCTATCCCATTCAGAGGACATTTGGAATTGTACGCTCTGGGACCAGAGCACCTGGTCCAGGGTATGTTCTTGCCACCACCACACAAGTGGTGAGTGGCATTCATTTTCATGACACATGCCCAGGGCTGCATTCTAGATCTGGAAATTGGAGCATGTAAGCTCTGGATTCTAGGATTATTAGCAACCAATATTTATTGGATCATTTCTTGGAACCTGACACTGGGCTATGCCTTTTAGGTATATTGTTTCACTGTAAAACTCACCAACACCATGCGGTAGAGGTATTAATCTGATTAGTGTCCCCATTGTACACATGGAGAAACTGAGGTGGAAGGAAGCTAGGTGAGTGGCCCATGTGTCCTCAGCTGGTTGGCACTGAAGCTGGAATGTCAGCCCATGTGGTGTGATGCCTGGGTCGCCGTCGTTCCTCTTCTGCTGACTTGCCTGAAGGGTCATGGCAGGATGAAGGCAAGGCCAAGAGAGAAGGAGGTTCCGAGTGGGACAGACGTTGGAGTCCTTCTCCTGCCCTTCATCAGAATAACTTTGTTTTTTATCTGTTTTATAAACTGGTGTTCCCAGAATGTTTTACCCTAGGATTTTGTTATTTTAAAAGAGTGCTAAAACCGCCGGGACAGCTAGTAGGATTCTCCAGTTTCTAGCCCGCTTGATCGCTAGGAGCAGATGGAAGCTGGTGCCCTTGTGATGTGTGGATCACCTCTGTCCTTGTGCATGACGTGCATGCATTCTTGTCCCTGCATCCACCCTCTGCCCCTGGCGCATGAAGGGCTTCTGAGTTTTTCTCGAAGGTGGGTCTAGACAGTGTTTTCCCATCTGTCTTCGCTTCTGGAACTGCTCCCTGTGGAGGAACGGCTGTGACGCTGAGGCTGCTGCAAAGCTCTGGGCGAGTGACAGCAACTGGCCTGTACCATTTAGCATCAGTACATTGGTTGCAAAGACCTGCCTTTGCTGCCTTCTGCGCTTAATCAGGAGTTAGGCAAGCAGCGATGTGGCCGTGTCCGAAAGGACCATTGGCTTGCAGCTTGCCTGAATTGTTTCCTCCTGGTTCTCACAGGGCCACCTGCCCCTGGGACAGAGCAACAGCTGTGGCAGCGTGCTCCCCCACTCGCTGGCAACCATGACCAAAGACTCAGAATCTCGGAGGATGCTCAGAGGTAGGTATCTTCTAGGGCCGGGGTCATGCCCTTTGTCAAGCATTAGAATTTCTCAGGGAGAGGGAATCAGAACAGAATTGGGGGTCATTAGGCAGGGGATCAACCAAAGTCCTAGATGTCACTTTTTTATTTTTATTTTTTAAATCTTGTTGACGCGTAGTTTGCAGTGTTGTGTTAATTTCTGCTCTACAGCGAAGTGATTCAATCAACTTTGCCCTTGATGTGTCCCCTTAGAGGGGAATGTATATATAAATCTCCTTATTGTTGTATCGAGATAAGTTTCCTATATGCACACGTGGCTGGTACATACCCATGACACTTTTTATAATTGCACTGGAACTCTCCATTCAGAAAGGCCCCTAGAGAATTACTAACCTTCTTATCTGATTGAAAGAAAGAGAAAAAAGACTGCTGAGATCCTGACAGGTTACCAGGGCACTTGGCTAAGTCACTCCCCTGGTTTGTGGCTGAGCCACTCTCCCACTGGAGGAACGACTCACTGAGCTAAAGACTCACTGAGCTAACACAGAGAACCAGCGGCCCAGCAGACTTTCCTCAGGCCTTCTCATGTGGGTTGAACTTTTATGCGGTCGTTAGGTTTCAGGTAGAATTGGATTCCCAGCATGTTCTATTTCTTTGAAATAATACATTGCATTTCTAATGGGATTCTCAAGCAGTCTGTGTACGGCTAGAAGAAAATACTCTAAGGCAGTTCCAGAGGTGAGCTTCTTGTGAAGAAGATTAGATTTATTGTGTTAAAATGGGGCTTTAGGTCAACTTATATTGGCCTTGACTTTTGAGCAGGTATGGTGCTAGGCAGCAAACATGCAGATAAATGACATGACCCTTGCCCTTGTCTCATGAGGAAAACAGAAACATAACTGATCATTTCAATCAAATGTAAGTGCAATGTTGGAGCTGTGCCCAGGATGCGAGTGGGGTGCTGACAGGATGATGGGCATCTTTCCTCTCAACGTGTTCATTTTGAAGCTGTTCCCCCTAAGGTGGCCAGGATGCAATTCTGACTGCTTGGCATCTTTGCTAATGTCACCAGAGAATAGTCACTATTGGCATCAAAAATACATTTATATACTGGTGTATATATATGCATGTATACATAATGTGTATGTGTGTGTGGCTAAGTGAGATGTACATACATATATATGTATCCTTGAAAGAGGATTTCATATCATTACCAGTGTGATTTAAGAGTTAATAGAAGTTATGGTATTCATAAAAGTGGTTTATAATATATGAGAGGTTTTATTTATTTTAATAAAATGCATTTGACTTAACTTCTTTTTATCATAATTTCTTAATAAACTAAAAATATCCCATAGTTTATAAATAATTAAACATAAATGAGTATATTTGGCTCTCATTTATTATTGTTCACTTGTGGGTCTAGTCTGTTTTCTGTTGGAACATTTTTCTGTGATATTTATAGACTTCTTTTTGAATATTTTTCCCACTGGCTGAAGATATCAAAGTTCAGATTGGCCACAACACATACTTTATGTTGAAAGTTTTTTCCTTAAAATAGAGAGGAAGAAACACTAGACCTGAACACCAAATAGATTTGTAAAAATGAAGGGCTGTAAACAATATCACTTAAGAGGATTCTTGTGAGAATATGGTGAAACTGAAGGGATGTTTGGTCTCTATTTTTCTCATCTGTGTTCCCCTCAAATAATGGGATGCCCTATGTTAGGTTCATGGAGAAAAAACTGAGCCAGTTCCCTTAGGTCCCATTAGGTACCATCTGCCAAATCTGTTGTGTTGACCTCTTTCGTGCTCCTGTTCTTCACTGGTAGGTCTTGTGTGCATCCCAGAGGCCCGCAGCCTCAGTCCTTCCCTGCTGCGGCTCTGAGTGGTGTTCCTCTTAAAGAGTTTCATGTCGTGATGATGAGACAGTTCCCAAAGAAATAGAGAAGCATCATGTGTGTGCTGATGTAAGAGGATGTGATATATCTTGTGAGGCCAGCCTGCCACCTTTGACTCCCCCACCCAGAGGAGGAGCGGGTAGGGACTGCAGTTTTTAGAGCTACAACAGACTGTAAAAGTTGGCAGCATTTTCTACTAAATCCATACAGGTGGCTCACAAGGACCAGGAAGGATGAATCATAATTTCATTTAGAATTGTTCCACGGTCAGTTGTTGGCGCCATTAAAATAGCAAACGCCAAGTAAAAAGTCCATGGCTTTGAAATGGACCTTGCACATTTTTAATGAACTCAAATAAAATAGACCTTATCATTTTCATGACTTACACTATTAACTTAAATGACCTGTTTTTTTGCTGCTTGTTCATAACGGATCCATCAAGGACAATGGTGTAAGTATAAGCCTTCCTTCAATAAGCACTCTTGTGATAGGCCTGACAGTGTGACTCATGCAAACAAAGGTCTGAGAGCAGAGTTTAAAGCAAAGAGCCCAGGAACTCCACTCTTAAAGTGGTAATGGTTATTGGCTTTTGTACAACTTGTGAACCGTTCCTTTGTAAGCTTTAGAATGAATGAAATCTTTGTCCTTTTTCTTCTGTCCAATGCAGGAAAGTCCAAGAAAGGTATGACAACCTCCCTCTGTGGTGCTTTTGTTTCTAGCAAGTAGTAAAAGGTCATGTCAAGTCATCTTTAAGAAATGATCAGATTTAAAACTGTACAATGGTGGATTTTTAGTCTAATGATTATTTCTTTTACACAATAGAGGGAAATTGTTGCACATTTGCTAAAAACACAATGCTGCGTGCAGCTGCTGTTCATTCACAGGCAGCTGCATGACCCTTTTTGTCTTGGTTTTTTATTGCAAGGTCAGATCATGCAGGAAACATGAGTGATTCGGAAGCGTTGCTTCATAAGACTCAGTATCTAGATAAAGCAAAGAGTGGGCTTGTACTGTGTATAGGCTAAGTGTAAGATATGATGTTTCTCCTTTATAAAGGTCAGGTATAAATAAAGCAGGCTATGTGAGAGGATGGAAGGATTTAGGCGTCTCCTAATATTCCATTTAAGCCTTAAAACCTAGTATAGGGTGAAAGTGAAAGTCGCTCAGCTGTGTCTGACTTTTTGCAACCCCATGATCTATACAGTCCATGGAATTCTCCAGGCCAGAATACTGGAGTGGGTAGCCTTTCCCTTCTCCAGGGGATCTTTCAAACCCAGGGATTGAACCCAGTATAGAGTGAAGAACTGTCTAAATGACTGGCTAGAACAAATGATTCTTATGTGGCTAGGTGATAGTAATGCAGGGCATTACAGAACTGATTTGTTATAAAGTTGGATGAATTGTGCTTCAAATCATTGAATGGCATATTACAAACCTTAACTTTAAAAAGCTATTTGTTAGCATCTTCTTTGAATAAAGAATTGTTTTATAGATATAATCTTGTTTTTATTCTCCCTTTTTTCTGGTTGAACATGTGTAACGATTTCTCTCTCTATTTTTTTCTATAACACATCGTTTTTTGACTGTATGCATGTATCAGAAGCTTGTTTTTGTTTTGCTGGCTTCTTGAATTCTTCTCTATAAATTCACATTTAATCTAAAAATATGAGTATCTCCCCTTGTCAAGCTGGTATTGGTACTAACACTGTCAATGACTGCATGTTGGAAGGGTGTGTTTTTCCTGTCCCCTTGTCACCCTTTTTGATCTTGTATCTTTTTCCCTTTCTCTATCATTCTTCTCATTCCTGACTTGTCCTGCACCTTCATCTTCCGGCTGTGGACTATGGTTAGGAAGAATGAATTTCTCAGCAGGTGAGAAATTGTCAGAAATACTGATTAATTTTATCCTCTTAAACCCAGGGTACAAATTTAGGTCATTGCATTTTCTGTATTAAGGCCCAGATAACCATTTTAAGGTATATAAGATACATTTAGAAAACATTAGCAAGATTATATATCCCACAGTGGTTAACTCACAAAGGACTTTTCAGGTGCAATTAGCCAGAATTCATAGGGATTGGTACTTTAAAAATGATAATAATAAATGGGCCTTGCACATCCAACCTACTGGCTCTTCTGGGACAGTGAAGAATGTTGAGTTGATTTGGATTCCATGTATGTGCTATGCTTAGTGACCAGCCTCAGGTGTTACCAGGTCTTACTTTATAAACTTTGTAAAGTACCCAATTCAAACAGCCCTTCCTGTCCAGGCAGAAGGATTTAGAGTATTCACAAGGCCCGTTTTACTCTTTAGATGTTGTCCCACTGCTGAATATTATTCTTGCCACATAATTTAAAAAGAAAAACAAAAACCAAGCCATCTCATGGATTTCGGAAAGTCTCATTTTCTCCCAGTCCACTTACTTTGCCACACCTGAAACAGTAAATGCATTCCACTTCCTGATTTCGTCACTAGTGTATTTGAAATTTATGAATTCACTCAGTGACCTTTTATATTGTGACATCTGATTACTGAACAAATGGGATTCGGTGCTGAACAGGACGTATATGGCCCCCTCCCTGATCACCGACACTTGAGTGGAGGCTTAATCTGGCTCATGCCTCTTCTGGGCTACTTCACTATACGAGCAGTCATCCTTGGGCCTGCTGCCAGGGAACCGTCCTCCCTCTCCTGAGCCCCTATCGTATCCTTCTGTTGAAAGTATCTGTACCTTTAAATGGCCAGGCCAGAGCCTGGATCCCAAAACCAGCTCCTAGGAATCACGCTGGTGCAGTTCCAGGGTCACAAAGGAGAGGTCCGTACCCTTATTTGTAATTTCAGGGATCACTTGTTTTTTTGGAATTGCTCAGGATGGGGGAGGCTAAGCCAGGTGACAGGTGAGTTTGTTGGGATCAGTAGAGTGTTGCTGGTGGTGGGGAAGGAGGGGCTGCTTAAGCTGGATGTTCCCACTCATGCTGGATCCACAGGAAACCAAAATCCTGCCATGGAAGCTACTTGTTAGCAGCAGCCTTTTTCATTTAAGTTGAAAATGCAGGGTGTTATCCTATCGCCGGGATGGTGGGAGGCTCTCTGAGACACAGAGCAAAGACATAAAAAAAAGATAAAACACACAGTGAGGCGACCTGGGGAATTCACAGCTGCGGTCCTAGCAGCGCAGACTGTAACAGCAGCTGCTTGTGCCCACGCTCGGAAACCTGGGGGTCGTTTCAGTTTCCTGTCTCCCTCTCCTGCAGGTGATAAGTTCATGTTCTTATTCTGTGATACATTTGGGAAAAAAATCCTGGATTATCTGAGGAGCAGGGCATAGTCACATAATCGCATTACAGGAACGAGCTCTTCCTCACTGCGAAGAAACTGAAGGGAAGGGAGGTTGCGACACGTCATCACCAAGGAGACAGTTCTGTTTTAAATGACAGGGTTGTCCTTTAGGGATTTGGTTTTCATACTAAAACAAGGAAATATCTTCCATGTGATTGGTGCCAGCATGAAGTTCTCTTTGCCAACAAGCCTTTTCTGAAAGTGTAAACAAAGATATATGTGTGACCTTTTCGAATAATCTCTGGTATTTTTTGTCCCTCCCTTTTCCATAATGAATAATTGGAAACAATTTAAAAGGAGCAGTTAGTAATTCCAAAAGTTCAAGTATCAAAGGTAAATATTTAAGTAATGAATTATTTTGCCATGTTTAAGATTGAAAAAAAAAGGCACAAGCTCCACGCTTATGAATGCGCTGGCTTTTGTAGTGCTTTATGCATTAATCATTACAATTGATGCTGTTCTCTCTAAAGCCTCATGGTCTGCTTTTGTGTTTTGCATCTTTCCTTAGCAAAGTGATATGTAGTTTTTACATATGTGTGTGTTTTTATAATTTATGATTACATCTTACATTAAGGAAACTTATTTTCCCAGAAATGCCTTAACCTGAACTAACTTATTTTAACTTCAATATCTAAACTGCTCTAAACTAGTGGCATGGAAACCCCTCATGGAACTCAAATCATTTTACAGATTTAGTTTTGGTCTATAATCTTTTGTTGAAGCATCACAGATGTGGCATCTGTTTTTAAATGAAAATGTTTAATCAACAGCTGAGGAAGCGGTTTGTAATCACTTGCCTTCTTTTGCCCTCTGGCCTGTTTTTTTTGTCATTTCATTACTAATTAAAAACCTCATAGAAAGGTAGGTAGGGTACAAGAAAACAGGGAAAATCCAGATGGTCCAAATATATAGTCTTAACAGGCCTGGTAGTACATTTGATCTGGGAGAAAGTGATTGTGAACTATTGTATTGGCTAAAGAACATATTTTAATGAATTGAGGGATGCGTTTATCACTATGCCTCCTGATTCCTGAGTACATGGTAAACAGAGAATTAAAACAAAAGATAATTCGATTTGTGATACCCAAAATCAGCTACCAGAAGAAAGCCATAGAATAACACAAAGTAAAGCCTGTGGCCTGGTGTGCAGCCAAGCAGGTACCAGGGTGAGGAAAGCCGCTTTACTTGGGGCACTTTTGCTCCTGTGGATATGATCCCTACTTTCATATGGTTATCACCAACTAGCTGAAGGCTGGTGGTTAAGGCAGAAGAAGGAAGAGAGCTAAAAATAAACTAATTAGGCTGATCACAACTATTGGAAGGATTATTGATTCTGAGTGTTTTAAATAAGTAATTGGCAGACGGGGATTTGGAAAAAAAAGAATGAGAAAAACGTGCATTTGGAACATTAAGCAAAGTAGAAATGTTAGTGATACAGGTTTCTCAGATCCTACACCTAGATGATCTACTTGCTGTTTTATGACCAGATCAAGTACCTTTGAAACTGGAATACCACTGAAGAAGTGAACGCCCTAAGAGCCTCGTGTTGCTTGTCATAAGAAGTCAAATGATTTCTCTGTATAAATGAATTATACAATTAAAAAAAGAGTCACACCCATTAAAAAAAAAAAGAAGTCATCTTGCTTTGCTTAAACCCAGCTATTGTTAGAGGATTTGAGTCTTGAATTATGTTTCTGTTTTGGTTTTGTGTGTGGGTTTCTATGTGAGCTGATATATTGTTCTCTGCTGTGCTGAGATGTAGAAATGGCATAGGAAAGTGTCAAGTGATCTGCTGACAAAAAAAAATATCACTCACAAGACCACTTCTTTGAAACTCATGCTTGCTCTGAGCATGATGCTGTTTCTTTGATCTTCTTGGCTTCAAAAGAAATTAGACCAAGGCCCCAACTTCATAGGCAGATGTTTTGGGTTGCTGGTTTGAGAGTCTTAGAAGATCTAAGACTGAAAAAATGAGGCATACGAACATATTTATGGCTCTCTCCTTAGGATATAATCACCAACAGATGAGTGAAGGACAAAGGCAGAAGTCTTCTGAATTTTACAACCGCACGGCATCTGAATCGAATGTCTACTTGAACAGCTTCCACTACCCAGGTCACAGCTACAAGGACCAGGCCTTTGATACTCTGAGCCTAGAGAGCTCTGACAGCATGGAGACCAGCATCTCTGCCTGCTCACCTGACAATATCTCTAGGTGAGATGTACTCCTGGGGAATGTGTCTGGTTTGGAAAAGCACTTGCTTGTTTCAAAAAGTAAAGCCATCCATCTGAGGCAATGTATATGTACAAGCCCAAATTTCTTAAACAAAAAGAGCTACAATACAGAAGAGGGTTGAGTGTCCTGGTGGTCTTTGAAAGTACTTTCTTTGTATCCAGAGTGACTTGAGCCAGTCACACACCATCTAATCCATTTTCTCCTTTATTTCTTTACACCTGACTTCACACGTATACTGTGCTTCAAAATGGATTTGCCTCTGTTGGTTGACTCCAAACTTCACTAGGACTGCTTGTAAAGATTTAACCATTCACATTTGTGTTCGTACTTAGAAGCAAGCAAAAGTGGACTTATGGGATCATGGCCAAAAGTGCATCTAAAATATAAATCTAGTTATAGTGCTCCTTCAAGAGCTTGTGATGATGCCTTGTAACCTTTTAAGTAAAGTCAGACCTCAGAGCCTGGCTTTCTAGATCCAGCCCAGCTGCGTCCATGCTGTCCTGCTACGCCGCCCAGAGCTTCTTATTCATTGAGAGGGCGATGGATTCTCAGATTTCTGTGCCTTTGACCATGTTGGTTCTAGCCCTGGAATCATGTCATCTGCTGTTTCTTTTGTTTATATGCTCATTCACTCCACAGATCCTTACAGAGTACTCTACAGTTAACAGTGAGCTGAAGTTGACTCAAACCAGTTGCAAGAGTCAAAGGTGCACACCTCCTCCTAACTCTGTGATCAGTGATGTCATGTTGATAGTCTGAGCCTGGCCACAGTGGGAGTATTTACGCCACATAATCAGGGGTTTTGTTTTACTCCAGAGAGCTGATTTACCAGCACACCACTGTCTAGAGTCAGCTCTTCCTTTCATTTGTGTATTCCCTCAACCTGTGCATACTGAGCGTTGAGAGTGTCTAGCATTGCAAAATGTCTTTACCGTCCCCTGCCCCCTCCCACTTTAGCCTGAAGAAAGTCTCCTCACCATTTAAGCTCAAACTGAAGTTGGAAACTCATGAAAATTTCTCATTTAAGAATGTTTTTCTTTCATGTTTCCATGGAAGTTGATACTTTTTTCTATTGTATCACTGATCACATTGCAGTATAAAAATTTTTCTTCAATAATTAATTGGCACATTCCTAAATGTCAGGGAGGATGTTTAATTATCTTTTGGTTTCCACATTAAGCAGAAATCTTGGCACATAGTAGGTATTCAGTTAGTGTTGGCTGAATAAATACCTCAGGATATAGTAGACATACTTTCAATTTTTATTTTTTTCTTTTTTTGTTCTGTTTCAATTGGCTGAGAACCATTATGATTTCAACCCCAGGAACACCCAGTGTTTAATAATGTCCATTGAGCAATTGTGTGTCTGAAGTGAAAATGACTAATTGAATGATGACCGTCAAACAAATTTTCCTCTATTGCAGTGAAGTCACAGGCTAAGGAGAGGAGCTCTCTGGGCCTTACCTGACTGCTAACTGTGCTGCTTGAAGTGGGTCACAGATCTCTCTAGGTCCTGATTTGCTAATCTGCTAAATGGTGTATGGTTCCTTGAGTGCAAGAGGATGATGGATTTTTAAATATTTTTGTGGTAAATTATCATCATGTATATAGAATTTCTTTACAAAGTTTTGAATCATTTGCTTCTCCCCTTGCCCTGCCAAAAAGGAGTGACAGAGACAGAGAGAAAGTAATATTGGCAAGGTGTGTTTAGCTTTGGGTTAGTGTCTCATAAATGGAAAGGATTTTGAGAGACCCAAATCTAACCAGATATTATAGCCAGGAAACTTGGGGAGTGGAGGAAAAGAAGAAAAGGGACTTCCCTGGTGGTCCAGTGGCTAAGACTCTGCGTGCCCAGCGCCGGAGGTCTGGGCTCTATCCCTGATCAGGGAACTACATCCCACACGCCACAAGTAGAGATTCATTCCATGTGCCACCACTAAGACCCAGTGTGGCCAAATAAATAAACGGATATTTTTTTTTTTTAAAGAAGGATAAATGCTACATTTTTTGGTATATAGAATACAGTGTATTTTAATTCTGGCATTATAATAGGTGAAATATTGATATTACTGAATACATCCTACCAGAGAAGGAAAGGAATTCTTGGGGAAAAACACTAAAGCAACCATGAGAACTATAGGTATTTCTCCTTGTCACATGAGAAATTTAATTTAAATTTAAGGAGAGGACTATGTAAAGACTAAAGATAATTTTTTGCTGCCATTATTATTTAATATCAGAGGGGTGAGTATTTCACTTCATTTAATATTGGAAAATGCAGTACCTCACTTTTTAAAAAATGAAAGACACTTGAGTGCGTGGAATGACTAGGCCTCAAAGCATCCATCTCTTGCTCTGGGTGTTCTCGTAAGGCACTGGCTGTTCCCGTAAGGCACTGGCTGTTCCCACCAGGGTGTCCCAGAGCCATGCGGGGGTGCCAGGAGCTGACATTCCCAGGTCAGAAAGCCTAGAACGTTGAGTGATTATTCATAAATGCCAGTAAACTGACCCATTGCATGTGTTACTTTTGAATAACGGGACACCAAAGTCAGCAATTTGGCAACTATTGTGTAACAATGGTGGGAGGAATAAAAGTTGATGGTGCGATCATTTCATTTCCTAGTATAGTGATCTCAGAGGGACTTTCTGGGTTTCTGAGACATTATGCACTTTTGAAAGTTTTTATTTTGAAAACTTCAGACTACCTACCCAAATAATTGTGAATATTTTATAACAGGATTCCTCTGGGTGAACCCCTGATAGCATGGCCTTTTTTATCCTTTCTATTTTTGAGCCATCTTTAATAAATAAATACACTCTATATGTTTTCCTATATTGGTGGCTTTTTCTGCTCCATTTTCTGCTCTCTACCCCTTTATCCCCTCCAAAAACTAAAAATAAGTGTACATCCCTTCAAATGATTCCCTCCTCAAACTCCATCTCTCATATTTGAAGGTGGTGAACAGCAGCATAGCAGTGAGTACAGAAAGTTACCTCAAAGGGAGCCATTTCAATCAGATTTACCAAGATGCTTGCTCCTTGGAAGAATAGCTATAAGAAAGCTAGATAGTCTGTTAAAGAGCAGAGACATCACTTTGCTGACAAAGGTCCATATAGTCAAAGCTATGGTTTTTCCAGTAGTCATGTATGGATGTGAGAGTTGGACCATAAAGAAGGCTGATCATCAAAGAATTGATGCTTTCAAACTGTGGTGCTGAAGAAGGCTCTTGAGAGTCCCTTGGACAGCAAGGAGATCAAACCAGTCAATCCTAAAGGAAATCAACCCTGAATATTCAAGGAAGGACTGATGCTGAAGCTGAAACTCTAATACTTTGGCCACCTGATGTGAAGAACTGACTCACTGGAAAAGACCCTGATGCTGGGAAAGATTGAGGGCAAGAGGAAAAGGGTGTGACAGGTGACAGAGGATGACTACAAAGACTACTTAGTGACTGAACAGTGAACAGCAAGAAGCTTAGATCTAGAGACTTCAGGACAGTAGCCACCAGAATCTCAGTTTACCTCTTTTTGTTCACCCACCTACATTTTCTTTAAATGGGAACGACTCCACTGGATGTGCCAGAGTAAGAGGACAGCATTATTTCTGGCAGGTGCTCCCTATGACCACCACCGTTTTCCATAGTTACTTCACGAGAACTGACCCAGTGCTGCTAGAGTCATGGATTCCCAATCACCATGGTCAGAAATTACTAATTTGTTATTGTTCAGTCACTCAGTCGTGTCCAACTCTTTGAGACCCCATGGGCTGCAGCACACCAGACTTCCTTGTCATTCACCATCTCCCGGAGCTTACTGAAATTCATGTCCATCGAGTCGGTGATGCCATCCAACCATCTCATCCTCTGTCATCCCCTTCTCCTCCTGCCCTCAATCTTTCCCAGCATCAGGGTCTTTTCCAATGAGTCGGCTCTGTGTCAGGCAGCCAAAGTATTGGAGTTTCAGCTTCAGCATCAGTCCTTCCAATGAACACTCAGGATTGATTTCCTTTAGCATTGACTGGTTTGATCTCCTTGCACTCCAAGGGACTCTTAAGTCTTCCACAACACCACAGTTAGAAAGCATCAGTTTAAGTGTGCTGTCAGGGTCTCTGAATGTCAAAAATTGAAGCCAAAGTAGAAGATGCCTGCAAAAGTCTAGTATAAATAAAAGGAAGAGGGAGAAAAGAAACAAACATTTCTCTTTTGTGCCATCTACCTAAAAATATTCATGTTACTCTAAGATAAGCTTGTACCCATTTTATGAAGGAAAATAAATGTGATAAACATCAGGAAAATGGATAATAAGGAACAGATGTTTGGCATGTGTAGTATGAGAGCACATCCTAATGGGAACTTTTCGAAGACAGGTAGAAAGAGGTCTCAGAGAAGGTGATGGCACCCCACTCCACTACTCTTGCCTGGAAAATCCCGTGGATGGAGGAGCGTGGTGGGCTATGGTCCATGGGGTCACAAGAGTCAGACACGGCTGAGCAACTTCACTTTTACTTTTCACTTTCATGCATTGGAGAAGGACATGGCAACCCACTCCAGTGTTCTTGCCTGGAGAATCCCAGGGGTCGCACAGAGTCGGACACGACTGAAGTGACTTAGCAGTAGCAGCAGAAAGAGGTCTTCCCTGGTGGCTTAGATGGTAAAGCATCCACCTGCAATGCGGGAGACTCGGGTTTGATCCCTGGGTTGGGAAGATCCCCTGGATAAAGGAAATGGCAACCCACTCCAGTGTTCTTGCCTGGGAAACCCGTGGACAGAGGCGCCTGGCGGGCTGCAGTGCATAGGGTCGCAAAGAGTCAGACTCTGAGCGACTGTCACACACACAGAAAGAGAAATAAAGAACTGAAGAGCTTTTCTCTTTTTTAGATTTGTTTAAAATGATGTGTCGAAATATCCTGAAATTATTCATGTTTTAAAGAGGGAGCTCCACGCTGGAGTTCTAGCAGCATAAACTTAGTCCTGTGGTTCATTGTGTATAAAAGCCAGTGATAGGATTACAGAACTGCTCCAAGTCGCAGGTACCTTTGCCTTACACTTTTTGTCGAGACACCATCTTTGTGTCAAGCGGAATATTCTTTTTTTTTTTTTTTTTAATAAAGACAAGTGTTCAGATTTATTTGGAAATTCACAGTTTCTAATGGCACTACAGCTCCGTAGTTACATCATTGGAAGTCATCTTTCCACAACCCTGGGCGCTGCACACAGGCGGTGTAACTCCCCACCCTACCTCTGCTCTCTTCTGGACCGCTTTTCAGTGGGTTTCTATACAATCAGGCCCTCTTGCTCTGAATGGCTAATTGTACAGATTGGAAAAAAATGTAAATCATCTAAAACATACTGTTAACCTAAAGCACAAGCGGAATATTCTTGGAGTCAGATGATGTTTTTACTTTTTCAGTATCATTACACTGTACACAAACATAAAGCTAAGAAAACAGGTCTTTTGTCTGAAAAAACAGCAGCTGAAAGTCAGTTCTATTCTGCTAAAATTATTGAATGAGCTCATAGGGTGTAATGTTCTGAATACTACCTACTACCTATGAATACTGAATACTACCTATGCGGTTGAGGGCATCCAAGGTTGAGCTTGGTTTTAAGAGATACTTCAAATAGATTCTCAGATACTTCTTATCCCTTTGTTTTATTCTGCTTTCTAACCAAGGGAATCAACACAGCATTTGCATTTTATTCTAGGGATTTCTCTCAGAAGAGACACAGAAAACCAGAGAATTTCAGAGGAGGGCAGAGCTTGCAAAGGGACCAGGTAGTCTACTGTACAGAGAAAGATTAGACATTTTATCAGGAGTAATAGTTTTCTTGACCTGAAAAAATAATCAAGAAGATGAATTGGCAGTAAATACCCTGGCTCTCCATTTAGCGGCAGCATCGGTGTGCTGAGGCAGTCGTGGAGAAGTTTTCTGTCTGTGTGGACAGTCTTGTTTGTTTTTTGTTTTGTTTTATTTATTTGTTGTATGATGATGGTCTTGTTTCCTTTTTTTCTTCCTTTTTCTGTTTTTGCCCTTGCTTCTAAAGTGAATATTCTAAAGCAAATTCAGATTTTGCCAAAAGGTATTATTCAGCACTGAAAACTAAATCTACTATTTAGATTCCTTTACCCTTGAAAAAGTTTCATTTTTCTTTATGACTGTGGGTTTTTACCAAAGTTGGTCACATAAGACAAATAATATTCAGTTGATAAAATAGAACATGGCCAAGTAGAGAATAAGGAGTTCATGATCTGAGCCACAGTCAGCTCCCAGTCTTGTTTTTGCCGACTGTATAGAGCTTCTCCATCTTTGGCTGCAAAGAACATAATCAATCTGATTTTGGTGTTGACCATCTGGTGACGTCCATGTGTAGAGTCTTTCTTCTCTTGTGTTGTTGGAAGAGGGTGTTTGCTATGACCAGTGCATTCTCTTGGCAGAACTCTATTAGCCTTTGCCCTGCTTCATTCTGTACTCCAAGGCCAAATCTGCCTGTTACTCCAGGTGTTTCTTGACTTCCTACTTTTGCATTCCAGTCCCCTATAGTGAAAAGAACATCTTTTTTGGGTGTTAGTTCTAGGAGGGCTTGTAGGTCTTCATAGAACCGTTCAGCTTCAGCTCCTTCAGCTTTACTGGTTGGGGCATAGACTTGGATTACCATGATATTGAATGGTTTGCCTTGGAAACGAACAGAGATCATTAGTTGACTCACTGGAAAAGACCCTGTTGCTGGGAGGGATTGGGGGCAGGAGGAGAAGGGGACGACAGAGGATGAGATGGCTGGATGGCATCACCGACTCAATGGACATGAGTTTGGGTCAACTCCAGGAGTTGGTGATGGACAGGGAGGCCTGACGTGCTGCGATTCATGGGGTCGCAAAGAGTCAGACATGAGTGAGCGACTGGACTGAACTGAAGTAGAGAAAGTAAGCAAAACTAGTCATCTTTTTTCCATAAATGGCCAAGTGATTTCATATTATTTGGTTATCATACAGTAATCATATATGAGATCAGAAATGTGCCTGCCTTCTGAAGAAGGTCAGAAGTTGAAGCAATGGGAGGAAGCATGACTCCCATTTGGAGAAACCAATGAGTGTCTTATGCTCCAGGTAATACATTAACTGTGTGTCTTCAGTGACTGCAGGTTCTCCCTTGGCATGCGAGGTGCTAGCCAAATTACATTTCATTTGTTCCATGCCCTGATACTGACAAGTCACCCTAAATTCCTATCACCATTGCATTTGGTTCTCACTGCAGGTACAGTTCTGCCCCCTCCCCGAAAAGTATCAGATAGAGTAGCAGTATCATAGAGTAACATATGTTTTGCTAAATAAAGTGCTTTACATATCAATGGAATCTTAAAATCAACAATAGCAAAAGTGTAGCTATAGAGAACAAGTAGGTGTCCATGGATAAAAATTCATTACTTTTAACAAAATAACCAAAGTAGGGACTTCCCCAGTGGTCCAGAGGTTGGGGGCGGGGGGTGGGCGCACATTCAGCCCCTGCTTGAGGAACTGAGGCCCCACGTGCCACAGGCGTGTCACCCCGTGTGCAGCGGCAAAGACCCAGCACAGCCAAAATTTTAAAAAGAATTTTTTTTTAAGGAACTTTGAAATCGTAATTTTTTAAATGAGTGACTTCAGGTGCCTAAGAGTTATGAAGATGTGATGTCGTAAATGTTAATATGCATTTTCTATGAGAGGTTTTCAGAAAATTCAGTTGGGCTGCACTGTTGGCATATGGGGTTTTAGTTCCATGACCAGGTATCACACCCATGTCCTCTGCATTGGAAGCCTGGAATCTTAACCACTGGACCACCACGGAAGTCCCTAAAGAGTTTTTTTCTTCACTCTTGCTGGTTGAAGAGAACGGAACGTATCCCTTTGTACCTCCCTCCTTCAGGCCACTGAAGTATGAGGGGAAATATGCTTTATTCCTGTCTTTCTCATGAGAAAACACCGGGCTAAAAATTGGCCCACATTCACTCTGCCAAGTCAGCCTAATTGTTAAGCTTCTGAGGATCCACCGTTACTAAAGCTGTCCTTCTCCTTGATGGATGCATTTTGTAATCGGGCTGGCAGTACTGATTTTTTTTTCTTTTTTAGCTTTAATTTTTTAAAGCAGTTTTAGAGTCACGGCAAAACTGAAAGGGAGGTACATAGATTTCCCATATACTGACTCCCACCACATATGCATACCCTACCCTTTTATCAACAGCCCCCACCAGAGTGGTACGTTTGTTACAATTAACGAACCTACGTTGACACAGCACTATTACCCAAAGTCCGTAATTACAAATTATATGGATTCACTCTTGGATTTGGACAAGTATATATCGTGATCCATCATTATTGTGTCAAACAGTATTTTCATTGCCCTAAAAATCTTCTATGCCCTGTCTGTTCATCCTTGTCTCCCTTCCTACCCGCCCCACTTCACATTGCTGGTAACTACCAATCTTTTTACTGTCTCCATAGCTTCTTTTCCCCAGAATGTCATATAGTTGGAGGAATAAAATATTTGGCCCTTCAGATTGGCTGCTTTCACTTAGTAATTTGCATGTATAGTTCCTCCATGTCTTCTCATGACTTGATGGCTCATTTCTTTTTAGTACTGAATACTACTCCATACATAGTCTGGATGTACTACGGTTTATTTATTCATTTACTTACTGTAGGATATCTTGGTTGCTTCCAAGTTTTGGCATTTGTGAATAAAGCTGAAATAAACATGTGTGCGCAGTACTGATTTTAAGATAAACTATATGTCCTTAATTACTGTGGTCATTTCTCTTCAAAAGAACTCTTAGCACTGTGTTTGAAACATCCAAGGTTTGAGTTGATCAACAGTATGGTTTAAGAAGATTATGCTAACAGTTATCTTATTCATTTTTTTTATCTTATTCATTTTTACATGAATTAATTTTATATGAATGTGTGTTTCAAACATGAACCCCTACTGTGTGCCAGGCTCTATGCTATGGAGGATACAGGCACAAAAACCCAAGAGAGTCTAGAAAAGAAAACATATTTGGGACTTCCCTGGTAGTTCAGTGGCTAAAACTGTGTTCCCAGTGCAGGGGGCCAGGGTTCAATCCCTGGTCAGGGAACTAGATCCCACATGCCACAACTAAGACCCAGTGCAGCCAAATAAATAAATAAAAATATTTCTTTAAAAAAGAAAACATATTTAAGTGACTATGCAAATACTTGCATGAGACATTGCTTTTAAAGCTCTGAAACCTTGAATGCAGTTTTCTCATTGGTATGGTGGTATGGGCTTTATTCACACAACTGACCATCACCCTTCTATTGCACCTGTAAGAGAAGTCATTTTTTACACTTCGTCTTAGCCAAAAGGCCGAGAAGCGATGAGAAGTCATTTTTTAATTGACCATCTTAAGTCACCGTGTAAGAAAGAAAATGGCCAGAAGCATGAAGGTATAGCCAGAAAGTAGCTGGTGACGCGTGATCCCAAACCAAATCAAGTGATCGCCAAACTTAGGGGTCATCTGCGTTGATTCTGGAGATAGTTTTGTTGGTCTGGCATCTCTGAATAATTAAACTAATGAGAAGGCCTCCTACAGGCCAGAATTTCTAAACTTTGGAGGAAACATATTGAGAACATACTTTGTATAATTTGGTTTTGCCTTTTATATGAGTAGAGCACTTTATGTGGTGTTGTTTCCCTTGCCTGTATTTTCTCTTCTAAACGGAAGTAAGTTACTTTCGCCTAGAGTTGTCAGAGTTGAATTGACTTGCCTCATCAGACTAATGATTCTTGTAAGCAATATCATTTCATATTGGATCTTGGGGTGTGTGTGTGTGTGTGTGTGTGTGTGTATCTGATAAGACATTAGTAAGAAGCAGTATTCTTAAAAGGCTTTTGTGTTTTCTTCAGTGCCAGCACTTCAAATATTGCCCGAATAGAAGAAATGGAGAGACTTTTGAAGCAGGCTCATGCAGAGAAGACAAGGCTGCTTGAATCCAGGGTAGGCCTAATATCTTTATGCCAGAGGTCAGTGATGTGGTGGTTCAAGATGCCCTGCACTTGACACTGGAAAACTGTCTTCAGGCCTCAATAAGCAGTGGGACCTTGGAATAGTCACTCTACCTTTCTTGGCTTCATTTTCTTTTTATTCTTTTTTATTTTTTGGCCACACCAAATGGCTTTTGGGAGAAAGAAATGGCAACCCACTTCAGTGTTCTTGCCTGAAAAATTCCATGGACAGAAGAACCTGGTAGACTACAGTCCATGGGATCTCAAAGAGTCCGACACGACTGACTGCACACACGAATGGCTTTTGGGGTCTTAGTTCCCTGACCAGAATTGAAGCCCGGGCCCTCAAAGTGAAAGCAGAGAGCACTAACCACTGGGCCAACGAGGAAATCCCACTGGCCTCGTTTTCTTTTCTAAAAAGTGAGAGTGTTAGAGAGGTGTTCCCTACAACTCTTCACTGTACTACCGTTTTTTAAGTGTAAAATGTATATAGTATGGGCATGATGAATTCTCTGTATTGCATGTTCCCCTCAGTGGCCCATTTGTTTGCCTGCGGGGGGAGGGAGGAACGGCAGGTCTTCACACATTCTCCCTGCCTTGCCCGTTCATGATCAGGACACTATTATAATATTAAAACCCCCACGTTGTCATGACTGTATTTCAAGCCAAAGTCTGCACTTCCTTAGGAATCCCCCAGAGGCCTTTGCATCCTGCCTGAAAGGGAGCCTCCCTTCCTCCTCTGACTTCCAGGCTGCTTCCTGCGCGACCTTCAGCCAGGAAGCCCCAGAGCAACAACAGGAATTGGAAGGACCCACAGCCATCCAAGAAAGGCTAAAAGTTGTGACTAGTGTTGGGTCACAGTTAACCTTTTTATATTAAAAATGGAGATTGGGGTCATCAGTATGAAAGGAGTGAACAGTCACAAGCTGGGTTTCACTTAATATTCCATTGTTAACTATATGTAGTGGCTGCATTTCCGCACAGAATGATTTGAAAGCTCTGTGAGTGGTGATTACGATGTTTTACTCTTGGTTATACACTGTAAGAATCTCACCTATAAAATTAGGAATTGCCTAGTGAGATTTATATATAAATATGCATTGGAATTATTCAAGTATAACCAGTATGTCTGAAATTTTTTTTCTGCATAATGATACCTAGGAACGAGAAATGGAAGCCAAGAAACGCGCTCTGGAAGAAGAAAAACGACGTCGAGAGCTCCTGGAAAAACGATTGCAGGAGGAAACTAGCCAGAGGCAGAAGTTAATCGAAAAAGAAGTGAGAATAAGGGAGAAACAAAGGGCACAGGTGGGTCGATCAGTCTGGATGGGCTGGAGCAGATTGCCCCCTGGTGGTCATTGTTAAAAATGTGTTAGTGGGCCAAAACCACGCGTTCAAAACACCTATTTCAAAACTCATTGGGTACAATTAACAAAATGACATTTTCATGGGAAGGCACTTTTTCTTCTACCCATTTGCTGGAGAATATTTAAAAAGGAGAATTTTTTTGGAGCAACTTTGAAAGTTCAGCTAGATTCTTTTCTAGAAACAAATAGAACACCCAAACCGAGTTGAGAAAAAGAGATTCTATTATGTCATCTTTTGGAAGCAGACACTCCAGCACAGAATACTTTAACCAGCCCAGTTCCTTGCTGGTGGAATTAATATTTATGGTGGAATTAATTTTAAATTAATTTCAATGGTGGGATTTAATTAATAATTAATATTTTGAATTGTTTTCCTAACCACACGGTGTTGTCATGGTGATGCCAGTCTACACACATGGCCATAGGATTGCTGAACTCAGGAGAACCACCCACTCTGTTTAACTTCCTATCTCAATCATCCTGGAGTTTGCTCTTGTCACTAGAACTGCTTACATAATATATGCTTTCTGAGACACTAAAGTAAAATTTTAAGTACCATGTAATTTAAAAGTCAAGTCAGCTTTACCAAGGCTTACTAGATTTAAAGATAAAAGGTACCAGTTCCCTTGTTCCTTCCAGTTGCTTGCAGTTTGAAGTTCAGCAGTGAGAGACTTGCCTTCATCTGTAGCACCTGTCTAGAGCCAGAGTACCACGGAATCAAAGGCAAAATAAAGGAAAAATCCAAGTAAAACGTGTTCGTTTTATTTCATTATGCCAAACCTCTTTCACTTTTCGATTTGCATAAAGGTCATCCATGACTATTTGATGTCTGAAGTCAAACCAAAGGCACAATTCTATTTTAATCTCAATGATTAGTTTTGTTTCCAAGTATGTGACTAGGTTATGTTCCCCCAGGACAAAGGGGTGGGGCAGTTTAACAGCATAAAGTACAAGACCGTTTTAGAAATATTACTCATGGCGACTTGCACTTCCCAGTCCAGATGAGCCTCTGCTCCAGCTGCGGTAAATTAAAAGAACCCAGTGTACACCTCTTCAGTGTCCGGTCCCAGACAGCTCATTGGGTACAGCTTTCATTCCACATTCTTACCTTATTTTAACTTTGCCTTTCAAAACACCTCTGCCTTCAGTTTCTATCAGAGAGTATACGCAAATCAGCATGCACACACATGCTTGGGGTATCTGGTGGGGGCTGTACTTCCTAAATGACGTCCAGTCAGTTCCATCATGTCTGAGGTTACCTAAGGAGAACTGTTGTTGAGGTTGTGGTAGGGAGAACTCCTGGAAACGTTACAGAGAGGGGCCCTCATCTGCAAGAAGCAGCCGAGAGAACGTCATGCCTTATTTCCTTATGTTTTTGTCTTGTTATCGGCCGTGCCAAGCGGCATGTGGGATCTTAGCTCCCCGACCCGGCATCAAACCCATGCCCCCTGTGTTGGAAGTGTGGAGTCTTAACCACTGGACCGCCAGGGAAATCCCTTCCCTGTTTTAAGTGCTGAGTACCTCTTTTAAAACTAAGGTAAATGACATGTTTCCATTTTCTCATCTGGCCTTTTCAAGGAATAGAGTCTGCTGGCCTGAGTTTATTTGCACCCCCCCCCCCCATACCATAGCATTTTTCTTTAAATGCCATCACTTTTTAGATTCCAAATGACAATGTTTAAGTTCTCATAATTGCATGGACGTTTTAACACTTAGGCTTTTCAGTTCATAAACATCTGTGACCTAAAACAAAACAAAGAGCTATAGATCAGATGGCCTCATGCATTTCCAGGCTCGACCTCTGACCCGCTATCTGCCTGTGCGGAAGGAAGACTTTGATTTGCGGAGCCACGTAGAGACTGCTGGCCACAATATCGATACGTGTTATCATGTGTCAATCACAGAGAAGACCTGCAGAGGATTCCTCATCAAAATGGGTGGAAAAATTAAAACCTGGAAAAAACGCTGGTTTGTTTTTGATCGGAACAAGCGCACCTTCTCTTATTATGCAGGTGGGTCATAAAAAAAATCTGAGTGACATTCAAATCAGGAGTTTTCTGTTAAAGAACAAAAGCAATAAAATTCAGAATAAATCAGTAAAGTGATAAGTAATAGATTAATGGCAATATTAGCTTGATAGATGTGTATTGTACTCAGGTCATATGGTCCAGTATTTACGAATTTTCTCTAGAAATAATAAAAATTACATTTTTAAAAAGTGTGAGTCAGTTTGTTCTGGTTCTGAAATAAACTCAAACCCAAATAAATATTAAATGGAATTTATTTTTTAGACTGAAATATTATCTTTTAAACCATGAGATCAGAAAAGGTTTCTATTTATTTATTTATGGTCATATGCCCTATTTAAGTCACACACAATTAGGCAGCTTAGCTGACAGCCATTCAGCTCTAGTTCATGGTAATTTCAACAGTGAAAAGCTCCTCAGTGAACTAGTGAATAAGTTAAGTATTTGCTGGGTGACTGGAATATTTTGGGATTCTTTAAATGATAGATTATGAGACTCGTACCCTACTGAATCCTCTATGAATACAGGAATATTTGTGTAACCAGTGTACTTATTAAGAAGCCCCTTATCTGCACATAGATTTCATATGAAATATGTTCATTAGCCATACAAGTAAAGCTGCACTCTCTTCTCAGCTGCTGAATAAGAGTGGTGTCAGACTAGAGGTTATGAAGACACCTGCCTCAGGGTGACAGTACCAGCATTTATGGGCTTTGTTGGGAATTGTTACAAAGTGTAGCAAGGTAATAAATTAAAAAACAGTCCAGTCTTTTAATCTGCAGGGTGTGTTCAGGTATGTTTATGAAGAAAGGTGTGAGAAACCAGGAGGCATGTGGAAGAAAGGAAGCTCCGGCCATGGAGCCCCAGAAGCCCAGAGTGAAGGGTGGGCAGGGTGCATGCCTTTAAGTTGGGGGCTCTTTGTGAGGGGCTCCAGTTGCTACAGTGGCGAGCAGTTGGCCTGACTCTCACTGGTTACCTCTTTTGGCCTTTCTGACTGGGTTTTGTAAGAATCCAGAGACAATATCTTCAGTTAATACAACAGAAGAGATGCCTATGTAATAAATGCCAATTCTGTGTCTGCAAAATGCATAAAGAAATTTTGTCAGTCTCCACTGACAACCTTAGCCAAAATTTTAAAATAATTCAAATAAAACAACTTTGCTCATCTCTGCTCCTTTTTTTTAGGAGCCTTATTTCATTCTTTCTTCAGTCTGAGAGGTGAGAGGTTCAGTGCTTCTTTCTGGTCCATGTAAATGTGTTTTTCAAATTTAAACTTCTTAGTGACCAGTTTTCAATTTTTTTTTTTAATACCAAAATCTTTTGGTATATGAACGATTGCTCAGAACCCTAATACCTAAAACAGACAAAAATCATATTTAATTCAGGTTTTAATATTTACAGATTGTATAACTGACTGGTGAGACCTTACTTGACAAACAGAACGCTGCCCATTTGCTCCGTTTGCAGCCATCATCAGCTTTCCTGCTCCCACCCTCCCCACCCCGACTCTCCCAGACACCACCAAGCGCAGAAGTCGATCAGCCAGCAGGCTTGCCCTGCAGGTGCAGTGCAGGCTGGGCTTGATCCCACAGGCGCCACGGGATCACATCCCACGTCAGCGAGCCAGCCAGCGTGGTCAGTGAGCATGGCCCGCGTGCAGGGCCTGAGCCAAACTCAGGTCTCCCTGTGGGGCAGGCCCGTGTGCTTGGCCTCCCACACATTAACTGAGTAACTTTAGGGGGGTCTCTAAGCAAACCCAAGGCACAGAAAATATGTCTGTGAATTGCTAGGATAATGCTATTGAGACGGAATACTAGAATTATCTCACCGATTTACAAGAGCCTTGAATTTTTCATTCTTTCTGACGTGCCTTACAAACAAAAGTTTTCTTCCCCCAGTTTTCTGCCTGCTTTGAAACACTGACAAGGTTTACTTTTATCTCCAGATTTCATTTTATATCCATTTCCAGAAAACAGAGTATTATTGTTTTCCAGTGAATTAATTATTGCAGGATCTTTTCCACCAAATGTTTGAGAGACACACTGACCTTTTCTTTCACAGAAACTGATGGAAACCCACTGAACATGGTATTAATTAAAAGCGTTTCCCTAGGAAGAGCAAAAATAAACACAAAAATGTGGTCCATGCTCAAATAAGTTAAAAAAATGCTGAGTTAAATGCAACTATACTGGTTTATTTTCTGCCGAACTTCTCAGGGCTGATATTTTTCAAATTTGCTTTTTACTGTTGTTATGGGGGGTGGGGTGGGAAGGACTCTCATTTTAGTAAAAACTTCAAAATGCAACTAAGCCTGAAGAATTGAAGTAAGTCTCTGTCCCATGACAAAAGTTCTGGCCTTTTCTAACACTGTTAAGCTTGAAATATCCTTTCAGATTTTCTCCATGCCTTTTCATATATGGTTCAATGTATATAGGTATTGTTTCTTCTTAATCCAGTTAGGACCAAATTATTCACCCTGTTCATACCTTTCTCCTCATAATGATGTTTCAAGGTTTTTCTCTTGAGCACATGCATATTTACCTTGGTCTTTTCATTGGCTGTGTAGATTCCATTGTATGGCTGGTCTAGAATTGAGTCAGTTCCCTGTTAAGGCTCCAGCAAGTCTTTTGCAGCATTGTGGGTGCCGCTAATGGTAAAGAGCCTGCCTGCCCATGCAGGAGACATACGGGATACCGGTTTGATCCCTGGGTCGGGAAGACGCCCTGGAGGAGGGCACAGCAGCCCACTCCAGTGTTCTTGCTTGGAGAATCCCATGGACAGAGGAGCCTGGTGGGCTGCAGTCCATAGGGTCACACAGAGTCGGACACGACTGAAGCAACTTAGCACCCAGCACACAGGTCCTGTTGAACACAAATACATATGCATGTGCTTAAGTAGCTCTTTTAGGATGCAGTTTTAGAAGCAAAATTGCTGAGTAAGAGAATTTTGGCACTTTCCATTGTGTATGTTTTACCAAATTGACTTCCAAAAGAGGCTTTCTTATTTGCATTTCCTCCAACAGTGTATGATAAGAGCCTCTTTCTCTGCTTCCTCATCCATGATTTTGAGATTTTTAAAAAATGTACTTGCATGTGTTATCAACCCTGCAGAGATTAAATTACAAAATATCTCTAGAACTTACTGTTCTTGTTAGTCATTACAGGTGATGCTGTTTGGTTGGTGGTTTCGGTGTTGGTTTTGTTTTCTTTAATGTCTGGTTTCGTTTTTATAGCAAATATGAAATCTTTGGAAGCAGTCTGAAAAGCGTTGCATTGAAAGGACATTAAATTATTGACATGAAGCTCTGTTGTGAACAGGATTAAAAAAAAACAAGCAGAGTAGACAAGAAATTTGATGGGGAAGAAACATAAGTAGGATATTATTTTAAATTATAAATAAAAAGCACACTTATTACAAATGTTTACAATAGTTCCAGTTCACTTGCTAAGTCATGTCCGACTCTTTTCGACGCTATGGACTACAGCACTCCAGCTTCCCTGCCCGTCACCAACTAGAGCTTACTCAAACTCATGTCCTTTGAGTTGGTGATGCCATCCAACCATCTCATACTCCATCATCCCCTTCTCCTGCCTTCAATCTTTCCCAGCATCAGGGTCTTTTCTAGTGAGTCAGTTCTTTGCATCAAGTGGCCAAAGTATACAACTACTGTCTTGAGAATGTAGGAAAATATTTTTTATTGATGTTAATGGTGTTTACACTTTGTGTGCTAGACTGACAGTCAATATTCTATATTATATTTTGACTGCTAATTTAGTGAAAAGCCTTGAGCAAAGTCACTTAGTCCCTTTCATGCAGGGTTGCTAATTCCAACCTTTTTTTTTCTCTTTTTCAGGATAGGATGGGGCTAACCTACATTGTCTGTATTAACCTTAGACAATTTAAATGCTACCTAAATTTTTTAAATTAATCCATTTATTTTAATTGGAAACTACTTTACAATATTGTCATGGTTTAAATGGTAGATAAATATTTTAATGATGATAGTTATAATGAAGTTTTGATTTTTTCTGTTCATCAGTGCTGATAAAGTATTTATTTTAACACTCATCTGCCATTGCAGACAAGCACGAAGCTAAATTAAAAGGAGTAATATACTTTCAAGCCATTGAAGAAGTATATTATGATCACCTCAAAAACGCTAATAAGGTAAGCATCGACATTTCAGACTCCCACGATTTGAATGCGCAAGTTGGGGTGAGACTCTCCCAGAGGCCCAGTGGTTAAAACTCCATGCTTCCACTGCAGGGCAAGCCGGTTTGAGTCCTGGTTGGGGAACTAAGAGCCCACATGCGCATGGTCGAAAAACAGCTGGGTGAGAGAGGAGTTAGTGCACGCTCATGAGGAGACTTCAAGGAGACGTCTCAGTGAGACAAAGAGTAGCATTTATGAGCTGTTTTTGGAGCGCGCACTATCCAGGTACCGCGGCTAGAACTTTACAAAGTATCTGCCAGAATGGCTGGTGAGCTCGCTGTGAGAGTCTCGTGCAAAAAGGCCAGAAAGATGGTCAGTCTTGAGAAAGGTGTTGAGGGCAAGATAGAGCAAAAGTCATGGCTACATAGATTGCTATAAATTGAAAGTTTTAAAGAGGAAGAAGCTCTCACATATCTCTGTGTTATATTTAATGTTGTAATTGCAATGTATTTGCTTTACATTCTTTTCCTTTCTTCATTTTCTTTCTAGAGTCCTAATCCTCTACTTACCTTTAGTGTCAAGACGCATGACAGAATCTACTACATGGTGGCCCCATCGCCAGAAGCCATGCGAATCTGGATGGATGTCATAGTGACTGGGGCAGAAGGTTACACTCACTTCTTGTTGTAGTGAACTGACACGACTTCAGGGCAGACTGCAATAATCTCTTACAAGAATGAAGCCATATCAACACCAGATGGACAGACCCAACAGACCCATCCCTTTAACTGTGGATACTCAGAACTGCTTTCACATTAACAGGAAGTCATTTGTAAAAGAGAAAGAAGGGGTTTTAATTCAAAGCTTTATCATAAATAATTCAAAGCTTGATCATAAACAGCAAAAGAATTGCCTATGAGAAAGAAAATACTCTTGGTAAATAGCACCACTTATAGGAACATTTCTTATAAACTCTTTATATCAATTGTTGATTTTGATGAAATAAACTAGTTTACAAAATGTCTGTATGTATTTGGAAAATATGAAATTATTTTAGCACCCAAATCATTGGTGGCATTGATGTTATTGGTAATCAACTGGCTCTTTTTTAAAGGAGTATTTTATGGAAGGTTATTTTATAAATATTAAAATAAATGAATAAGGGCTTGGAAAGGGAGTATATTGTAGGAGGACTTTGGCCCTAGTTTTTAAGTACTACACCAAAACCAAAGACTTGACATGACCTCTGCTGAACAGGAGTAGTTATGAACTGCATTTAATGTTACTCTGCATTTTAAAATGGTACTTTGATGCCAACAAGTGCCCAGGAAGTTGACTTTGAAGAGTCACCACCAGCATAAGCTACTGTACATACATAGCAAACACTTTGTAAAAGAAGAACAAAAAGCTGTGTGTTTTAGGAAGAAGCAGTCTTAGACATTCTATCACACTGGGCAATTTAAAATAAAGAGAATATTTAGCTTCAGCTGTTTTGCTGATGATTTCTCCGTTCCCAGTGCTGAGAATAAAGACAACAGGAGCTGATTTCCTTTAGATTGTCCACCTTCTCTTTGTTGTAGAGTACTTGTGTTAACTGCAACCTCACATGATGTAACTATGAAATAAAGCTCTGTTTTCACCAAAGAGCAGACCAATCAGAATACTTATTTTCCAAAGTATTGTAGTTCTATTCAGAGGCACATGAAGTTCACCTTAATGTTCTCTGTAATGTACTATTTTATGTTTTTTCTTCACAGTTAGCTTTTGTTTTTTAGAGTTCAATTAATTTGTATTGAATGAAATGACTTCAGGCAAGTCCTTTTGTAACTGCTTTTCAAATGCCATTTATCCTGGTTTATCATGTTGTGTGTGTTTGTAAGTATGAAGGTACTCTTTCCACTCATTGACAGAGGAATCGAAGTAGAAAATAATAATGTTACTTACTAGTAAAAATGAAATTATTAGATTAGAAGTGTCTATAAAATTTGTCAGGCCTGACTGGGTACAATTTTTTTTTTTTTAATTTGCAGTGGTTTGTATACATGTTGCCAATAATAAGATTTTGTGACTGGATTATACATGATGTTACTTGAACAGTGAAGGACAAAATCACAATTGCAGAAGATATTTTTATAATCTGTTTCTACAGAAATCACCCCTAAACCCTGTAGTGATCTAAGACAGTGAAGTACAAGTGCTGAACTTTTGTTGGTTAATGTAAAGATATAACTTTTCTGAACTGTACTTTACTTTCTTCATAGGACTATAAAGATACTCTAATCAACTTTCTATCTTGCATGATGTAGTAAATGGTTCAAATATGTGTGTCAAAATATGTTGAGTTTGGATTAAAATGTTGATCAGATTTCACATTCGAAAATAAACTCATTTTAATAGGAAGTTACCCATTGGTAGCATGACAAGGGATGGATTAATCAGCAGAAGTCAACTGTAGAATTGACATAAAGTTTGTGTGCTAGCTAACATTATGACTTGTAGTTTATAAACTGAAGTAATCAGATATGTCTCTGGTCACATTCCTGTTGCTAACAAAATGAGATAACCCCTGAGAAGTCTGACATCTTTAGTCTAGTTGCATCGATGCAATTATTACTGGGGATTGAAGGAGTGTGTTTACCTATCTTTCTCTCTGATGGGGGAAAAAATTGCGCAGGTATGAAGTTAGAGCTCTAAGGCTTTACTTAGTGGGGACCACATTTGTCTCCCTGAATTAAGGCAGCAGATTTCAGAGAAAACTGCCTTCAACAACACATCCTTTCACACATGTTAATGAAGGCAACATTGATAGTAGGTCAGTGGAAACAATGTTGTCTGCTTCAAGCCCATCACTGTCAAGAAAAGCATCTTCACTTGACGCCAGTCACAATTTTTGCTGCTGTGTTAAACTGATGAAATTGGATGGAGAAAATGATTCCTGGGTTCATGGGTTTCTCTGGGGTTTTGTGTGTGTGTGCAGTGCCTTTCCCAGTATGAGAACAAGTAAAAATTTTTGTTCTGCTTCACATAAAATGCCAGAAGACATGCAAAAATAAAGGGAGAGAATAGGGACAGGAATGATTGAGAATATTTGGATTATCCAAAATCACAGTAAGAAGTGTTTACTGTTAAGATACAATGGATGCTGAAGTGATGTGTGTCACCGTAGTTGATTTTAGCCCCTTTGGAGTCGACAACAGGCTTAATGGAGAACCAGAGAGATAACTCAGCAGCTTTTGGAGAAAGTTGCTAAATCAAGCAGCTATCCTTGCTCTGTTTCTGGCATTATACCTCTCAAGGAAGAAACCTATTTTTTCATTTGTCCAACTTTCCTGGTGCCTTCTAATAGAATAGTTTCTCAAAACTCCAGAGATAAGCTGAATTCACTGTATCCAGCCTTTGCGTTTAACTCTAGCACCAGTCATTGCTCCAAAATTTATGACCAAGATAGTTAAGTGGCTTTACTCAGTCATAAACCAGCCACTGTAACTTTTGCATAGAAAACAAACAACAAGAAAAACAAGGTAAGTCTTTATTTGTTGATGCTTGAGGCCTCCAAGAATTGCTTTGAAGGACACCAGAGCTAGAATCCAGAGACCCTTGTACACAGTTTATTCAATCATATTTTTATTGGCCATTCCATTTTTCTTCTGTTTGCCTCTGAAAATGGTGCTCTAGCAGATAACATACATCCTTATAAACCATTATTGTTTTCTATAGGATGGTCACAAATTGGAGCCATTGGGTCAAACAGCATTGACAGTGATGCAAATTTTAAATTGTCACAGGTGATATTACTTGACAACAGAGTTTAGCGGTTTACTTTCTCACCATCCCTACACGAATGCCAGCTTGCCAATAATCGTTCTTTTTAACTTCTGCCAACATGATGGGTAGGAAAAATGGCATGCTAATTTTTAACATTTAATGCATGTTATTATTTCAAGTTTTTCAATTAGGTTGATCATCAGGTTTACATATGTGAACTGCCTATCACAAATGTTGGCCGATTTTGTTGGAATTACATATTTTTTCTACCAATTTCTGGGAGCAGGCTAAACAGAAGTATTAATATTTTGTTATCCACACAGTAAATCAATTTCACTATATGTTTTTATTCTTTTTTATTCCAGGGGTTTCAAATCTTGCTTTAAAAAGTTCCTTTTATCTATACTATATTCTCCTAAAATGTATTTGATCCTCTCGGTTTTATTCTTTCATTGGGGTGATTTAGCTACTGGAATTTACCTTTGCACACAGTATGAGGGAGTGTTTGTTAGTCCTGCCCGACTCTTTTCGACCGCCTGGACTGTAGCCCACCAGGCTCCTCTGTTCATAGAATGCTCCAGGCAAGGATACTGGAGTGAGTTGCCATTTCCTTCTCCAGGGAATCTTCCAACCCAGGGGTTGAGCCCACCTCTCCCACATTGGAAGCAGATTCTTTACCACCTGAGTCACCTGGGAAATATGAGAGACCGGTCTTAATAATTCAACAGTCTGACATACGAAGAGCTAGAACAAAAACAAATTGAAAGGGGCAAAGAAGCAGCAAAAGTTCAATTCCACTCCAGGCGTTTATACAAGCATGATTAAGGTCAGAATTTGGAAACATTCCCCGTAAAAGTCAATGTATTGAAAGGTTGTTGCTGTATCAAAAGATTCCAGGATTCTTGCCCTGCAGCAGAGAAGAATTTAATATGGGACCAGTGATGAGGCTTGATCGCTCAGAGCTTTTGTGTAATAAAGTTTTATTAAAGTTTAAAAGAGATAGAGAAAGCTTCTGATAAAAATCAGAAGGAGGCAGAAAGAGTGCCCCCTGCTAGTCTTTAGTTGGGTGTTAAATAGCTACTAGCAGTCTGCTAATTAGAGAAGCAAGAGTCTGAAATGCAGCCCTTGGATGCAATCCCAAAAATGACAGAAGGACCTCTGTTCGTTTCCAGGGCAAAGCATTCAATATCACAGTGATCCAAGTCTATGCCTGACCACTAACGCTGAAGAAGCTGAAGTTGAATGGTTCTATGAAGACCTACAAGACCTAGAACTACCACCCAAAAAAGATGTCCTTTTCATTATAGGGGACTGGAATGCAAAACTAAGACGTCGAGAGTAACAGGCAAATTTGGTTTTGGTGTAGAGAATGAAGCAGGACAAAGGCTCAGAGAGTTTTCCGAAGAGAATGCACTAGTCATAGCAAATATCCTCTTCCAACAACACAAGACTCTACACATGGATATCACCAGATGGTCAATACCAAAATCAAATTGATAATATCCTTTGCAGCCAAAGATGGAGAAGCTCTATAGAGTCAGCAAAAACAAGACCAGGAGATAACTGTGGCTCAGATTATGAACTCCTTATTGTCAAATTCAGATGTAAATTGAAGAAAGTAGGGAAAACCACTAGACCATTCAGGTTTGACCTAAATCAAATCCCTTATGATTATACAGTGGAAGTGAGAAATAGATTCAAGGGATTAGATCTGATAGACAGAGTGCCTGAAGAACTATGGACATTATACATTCTATTGTACATTGTACAATGTTTGTGACATTGTACAGGAGGCAGGGATCAAGACCATCCCCAAGAAAAAGAAATGCAAAAAGCCAAAATGGTTGTCTGAGGAGGCCTTACAAATAGCTGAAAAAGAAGAGAAGCTAAAGGCAAAGGAGATAAGGAAAGATATACCCATCTGA